ATTAATGCAAAGATGGCAATACCCAATTCACAAACGGCACCCTTGAAACCGTTATCTGATCAATATTGGGAAAGATATTATCGTTTTTTCTCCAGTTAAAAGTGTTACTTTCTGATAAGTCAGTTTTGCAGAGAATCCAATATTAAAAATTATCATTATTAGAAATTGTATCTAATATCTAATTTATACTTAATCAGACCAAGCTTTCTGTAGAGAATTGTGTATTGCCACTTTTGCATGGAGGGTTTATTGAAATTATGCCTACATTCCCTTCAGGCGTCGAATATTTATGAAAGATATTGTTTAGATGGGAGGAGGAGTTCCTTATGAGACTTAAACCTGCAGAACACAAGATAGTACTAGAGGTAGGACATAGGACTTCAGGACGTGGGACTTCAGGACATGGGACAACAGGAAAATTAGACATTAGGACATGGAACATCAGAACATGGGACAAGAGGACATGGGGCATGAGGACATGGGACAAGAGGACATGAGACTTGAGGACATGAGATGCCAAAAACAAGATTTAGAGAGCAGGATGTTAAAGTAGGACAAAGAATTGGAACGTTATGAATAATGACAGAGGGAACAGGACCAAGAGGACTTGACAGGAACTAGGAACTACGAAACTAAGGATTAAGGAACATAAGTAACAAGGACAGAAGGATCAGGAACAATGACAGAGGGATTAGGAACAAGGACAAGAGTTAAGATAGGACAAAGAATTGGAACGTAAGGAACAATGACAAAGGGAACAGGACCAAGAGGACTTGACAGGAACTAGGAACTACGAAATTAAGGATTAAGGAACATAGGTAACAAGGACAGGAGCTCAGATAGGACAAAGAATTGGAACGTAAGGAACAAGGACAGAGGGAACAGGACCAAGAGCACTTGACATGAACTTATAAATGACAAAACTAAGGATTAAGGAACATAGGTAACGAGGACAGAGGGATCAGGATCAAGGAACAGGAGTTCAAATATGATCAGGACAAAGGGAGCAGATTTGTTAATTTAGGTTTTCGACGAGAACAGGTTGACGAGAGACGATTTCTTGGGACGAGTTGAGTTGGATCGTCTTGGCAGTGCAGGGAGGGTTTTATCCTTAACTACTTTTAAACGTTTTTTATCCTATCTATATATAAATTTGGCTTGTCTGTCTGTTTGTCTGTCTGTTTGTTTGTATCCAATAAACCTCAAAACGGCTAAACCGATCGGGCCCAAATTTTTTGTGGGACATCACGTGACCACAGGGAAGGTTTATGAATGATCAAAATTTCAAATATTTGTCTCCATCAAAATTCGATCTTCATTAAATTTTTTAAAATTTTGAAAATCCACGAAATTTTTTGTGAAAATCCGCGAATTATTTTTGTTTTGTTTTACGATGTACACAAAGAGAACATGTTCACAATTAATTTAGAAGATGGGTGCGAAGCGCCCAATAAGGCTAGTAAATTATAAAAGTCCAAATTGATAAACCCATCAGAACAAACTTGTTTGTTTGACCCCAGATCCAGAAATTTTATTGAAATTTTTGATGTCTGCATTTGCATAGATTTAATTTAAGAAATCAGAGCCCGCGATTTAAAAGCTTCGGTTCGGGTCGTAATTCCTTAAACCCACCTGTAAGACCCAATCTTAGACTCAACTCTGACGGCAGCTTGTGTCACATGATTGACAGTTGCGAGATCTTAGGCTCGACGTAGGAGTAAGGCCCAACGAAAATAAAACCGATCTTGTTTGGTTTAAGTGGAAAATAAGGCTCAATGTTGATTCTTGTTCTCATAAAAACCCGGAATGCGCCAATTCCTACCTTGGAAATCTGCCAACTAGAATATTAAACCGGTATTTTCATGAGTTTTTTAAATCGCGGGCTCGCGTTTCCTATACTTGGTTTCGGGCTCTTAAATAAAGAAAAGGATTTATCGAATTTTGAAAATGCACCAATAAAACAGTAAAAATCCGTGAAATTTTTCAACTTGATTATTTTGGATTTTGAGGTGAATATAAATAATAACAATTTTTATGAAAAAAATGTTGATGATTATTGAATACTATGGATAACACTGAACCAGGAGGAATACCACGTGAGCAGGCGGGCAGAACTATTCAAAATAAGGAAATTATTGTTCTTAACAAAAAATATTTTTAAAAACATTTTTGTAATGAAGCAAATCAGTAATTTTAACATTGAACTTTTTTGTCATTATCATTTTGCTGTTCTTCATTTAAACATATTAGGATACTTAATAAACGGGACATTCCATAAACAGGACATATTCCATATATAGACAGGACATCAGATGATTTTACAGTTATAATAAATTATGGTCTGTTTCCCTATTTGAAATGTGCTTAAAATTCTACCTGTTGATTTAGTATAGCGAAATTTTTGATAAAGAAAAATATTTTGCATATAATTTGCTGCAATTTCTATTTTTGAAAATATTTGAGAATCCTAAAATGTTCAGAATTAAAATTTCTATTCTTGAACAATAATATTTTCAGTCATATATTCTTCAACCTAGAAGCGCAAGATCTAAGGTAAACCCAGGGGGAATTAGAAAACTGCAGGGGTCCATATAATTCCATCCAATACGATCCCAAATATTGATTGATAGAATGTACACTGCAAGGGGTGTTTATTTTTCTGTATATCATAGTTTAATTCTTATATTGATCAAATAGATTCTATTACAATAGATGGCAACGTAGAATTTGTATACTCTCAGTACAGTTGTATTCTAACGTCACAAGTGTCAAATGTCAATTATCAATTATCAGATATATGATAATTTTAGAATAAAGTGCTTATCTTACAGTAAAATAAGTGCAATTTTATGTGTTCTTTAGTTTCTGTTTTAACACTTTTTTATTAAATCTTGGAAAACATGTCAACTAATGTAAGAAAATTTCGTTTTCCTGGTTATATTTGACACTTGTGACGTCGTGTATAATTGGTCCATTTCTGTTTTGCCACCAATTGTACTTGATAATCTATTTGATATTGAGTACTTTTAACACCCCAAATGCAGTACACATTTCTGAAGTGCAGTACTCGGAACACAAAAAACTTGCCAAAGTAGACAATGCCATGGGAAGTGTATTTTCATGCCCCTAAATGTACTTTCAACCCCAATCCCATTTGAGATGAGACATAGAATTTTATAGACCTTTGTTCCACCTTTTGCTCAAATTTTTGAATTTTGCACTTGTTGATTTCGCTGCTTTCAAGTTCTCACTGTTCAAGTTTATTTTTATTTTTTAGGAAAATTAAAGTTTTAATATTTTTATTTTTAAGAACCACAATCTTCCCTAAAACATAACGTTTTAATGTTTAAATTCAAAGTCAAGATTTATGAAAATTCTCTCTGTACTCGATGAACAGGCTCATGTTGAAAGGGTATTGTTGTAAATCGGGCAGTCTAATGCCAATTTACATACTGTTATAAATAAAAAATTATACCATTCCGGTGCCAGTCCAGTTCCTCATAATCTAATGATAATACTCTTCAAGATTTACTTTGTTGCACTTCTCCTAGAAGAAATGAGATATAAAAAATGGATCAGCACTATTTTTTCGTTTGTTTCTTTTGATTTTAAGATCCAAGATTTATTTTGTTGCACTTCTATAGAAAAGGATATATAAAACACGGATCTGCATTATTTTTTAGTTTTTTTAGTTTGTACTTTTTATTTCGTTTTGATTTTGTTTGCATTTGTGTTTTCTCTCTTGTATTTAACCGTAAAGTACGATAAGTACTTTACAAAGTCCAAATTTTTCTGTCAAGATTGCTGCTCAATACTATGTATGTCTTTCATAACGGAGCTGTCGATACTTAAGATCTCAATTTTATATATTCCTGAGCAAGCAGAGAGTATATAGCGAAAAGCCAACTCGTTAACCCTGTGATTATTTTTATAAAGATGTTTACGTTCTGTTTTTCTCAATAAAAGTTTGAAGAAGAAGTAAATCGGGCATTGCCTTGAGGGTCAAATGAAAGTACTCTAAGTAACAGTCTCTTTAACTAGGTTCGAGGGAACCTTCTCCTTTACCTGGGATTCATAGCAGAGTCCTCACCACCAGAGGAGGGTGAGGAGACCGATGCCGAGCAGGTAGAGGGGGTAGAGCAGGTAGAGCAGGTATAACAGGTAGAGCAGGTAGAGGGGGTAGAGCAGGTATTTTAGTTAATTGATCAAATTCTCGGACTTGTTATTAATATTTTGCATTTTTAGAACGTAATTAATTTATCCTTCGACAAATTCTATACTTAATTATATATTTTCGCTTTATCTAGAATGGAAAATTTCCATGTTGGGTAATTTGTTAGACACAAGATAATTTGTCATTTCTTTCTTCAACTTTTAAATATGTCAATAACTGCAACACAGTGTACAGGTGACATACCGTACACCACATTGTACAGGTGACATACCGTACACCACATTGTACAGGTGACATACCGTACACCACTGTGTACAGGTGACATATCGAACACCACATTGTACAGGTGACATACCGTACACTACATTGTACTGGTGACATACCGTACACGAAGAGGAAAAGTAATCAAATGAAAAGGTGCAAAGGTTCTCTGGGTGATGTAAATTCTTAGTATTGAAATGCAAAAACGTTTTTGCTCTAACGTGATGAACTTAAGTGAAAGTAGTTTCAGAAAAAAATTTCGATGTCGAAGGATAGGAGGCTCAAATTTTGCATGCAGCCTCCTATTGTGGCCCTCTACTCGGGTCACAAAAAAATTGGGAACGGATGTCATTGACCATCACTAAAAATCAAGATTTTGCCAAAAACCCTAAAACGACTTCCACCCGGTGCAATGCTCTGATACGTATTTTTCTCAAGATAGTTGTAAATTTTTAAAATTTAATTTAAAGAAAATTTAAATTGACTTCTTAAAACTTTAAAAATTGAATTGGTTACATTACGTTACGTATTTTCTTCAAGATAATTGTTAATTTTAGATTTGTAAAATATGATTTAAAGTTGAATAAAAATGATATTATTTTATTTAAATTGACTTCTTTAAACTTTATAACAATGACAGAAACCTGTCAAATTCATTGAGAAAATCCGCAAAACATTATTTATCGGGGATTTTATTGCCAATATATTATACGTTCTTGTGAATATTACAAGCTTGAAAGGGAATGAATGCGAAATTTACAATGTACCTTGTACAGTATAATGTACACTTTACAGTTTATATTCTACACTGTACAGTTTATAATGTACACTGTACAGTTTACAATGTACATTGTAGAGTTTACAATGGACACTGTACAATTAATATTATACACTGTACAGTTTGCAATGTACTCTGTACAGCTGCCGTGTACCTTGTTTGTAGAACTTTTATGAATTCGTTAAAGTAGTTTTCTATACCACTTCATTCTGTTGACCACTGTACTGTTTAGATTCCTGATACAGAGCCAGGTTGGGAGATGTTGGAGGGGGCAGTTGGTGGGGCGGAGAGAGGGGCGGAAGGAACACCCGCAGCGGAGACGCAACCAGGCCAGTCAGTGGAGACAGGGGCGGAGCCGGATGAAGGAGATAGTCAAAAGTAATTTTCAAATTTTAAATTTTCTTTTTTAATTTTGAAGATTAAATATTGCTACTTAAGTTTTTGTTCTGAAGACTCTTTTACAAAAAACTCCAGCATTTCTTTTAAAATTTAAATCTAATTTTAGTTAAATTTTTTAAATTAACCTTTACTAAGTGTACTGTACTGCAGTGTACCTCTACCTATACTAACTGTACTTTACTGCAGTGTACCTCTACCTATACTAACTTTACTGTACTGCAGTGTACCCCTACCTATACTAATTTTACTGTACTGCAGTGTACCCCTACCTATACTAACTTTACTGTACTGCAGTGTACCCCTACCTATACTAACTTTACTGTACTGCAGTGTACCCATACCTATACTAACTTTATTGTACTGCAGTGTACCCCTACCGGCTGGCTGGGAAGAAAGACAGGATGCTAACGGTAGAACCTACTACGTCAATCATATCGCTAGAACTACACAATGGCAGAGACCTGGGACAGGGGAGGTATGGTCACTACACTGTACAAATGTAAAGTTTGTACGTCAAGGATTGAACAGTTGCCTTTTCTTACTGTGCTCTGGAACAATTTATTAGTTGTTTGTTTGATTGATTGATTCTAAAATGGTTAATTGATTTCAGTGATTGATTGATTGTTTCTTAGGGTTCATATGGATTATGTGATTGATTAAAATCTAAGTTAAATGAAAACCAGTGTTTTTAAGTCAAAATTAGTTGATTGATTGATTGATTGAATAAATGATTGATTGATTGATTGCTAGGAGGAGATCAGTTATATAACAGCGTCTGGTGAAACTCAAACCCAGGAGGAAAGAGACTGCAGTACACGGAGTAATCAATTCAACAGGTTTCCGCCAATTTTCTCGTATTTTTCCAAAACTCCTTCAATTTTTCCTTAAGTTCATCATTTCTTTTGAACTGTTCAACAACTTTTTCTAGCAGTTTCTCTCAAGTTCATCAATTTTTGACAACAAGTAAGTTTATTTGTCAATTAGATTAGTGTTCAGAATTGTATTTGTTTTAATCTTATATCGGGTCATATCGGGATAGGGTGCCCATCTTGAAGTGGTTAAAGTAAATTTTGTTTTCAATTCCAAATTTCTATAACACTCCCTGATGGAGTTAAGAAAAGTGTAAAAGACGCGATTTTTCGCCCTTTTCTAATTATTTGACCATCAGAAAACAAAAAATTCGGTGAAATATCGTTGATATCAAAATGGAATCACATTAAAATTTCTAAAAAATTGACAGGGATAACACAATTTAGTCGAGAATTGTTAAAAAAGGCCAAAAATGGCGGGAAAAATATTTAAATGGCTGTGACAGTTAGGAAATTTATTCTAAAATGCTAAAATTTCGTATTTGAGATAGTTTTATCCAAATGCTTCCTAAGAAATGTGTCGCAATCTTGGAATTTTTTTTCAGCGCCGGGCACCCTTATATAGGTTTGATGTTTCAGACAATGGGGCGTGCTTTCTTCCCCTCTTTCAATCTTAACAAATTTGTTTGTTTTTGCTTTTTCTTTAAATACTGTAACATTTCTTGATGTAATTATTAGTCTAATTTTCGTAAGTAATTTTTTTATTGTAGTGATTATATTTATCATGGTTGTAACTTGTTTATTAGAGTTAACATGGTTGTTTTTTATAATGATCTGTTTATTATCCAGTATCTGAGAGCTCTGCTGTTATTGATCAGATGCACAATCTTATTATTCAAGGAGAAGATAGACCACAGGGTGGTACTAGGTCAAGGTAATTCAACCAATCAGAGAGCTGCATTCAGTTTATTGATAGAGTTGACCAATCAGAGAGTTTCATTCAGTAGAGTTGACTAATCAGAGAGCTTCATTAAATTTATAATTGAAGATGAAAGCTTCATTTCGTTTATTGATAAAATTGACCAATAAGAGAGCTTCATTCTGTTTATTGATATAGTTGCCCAAACAGAGAGCTTCATTCTGTTTATTGATAGAGTTGACCAAACAGAGAGCTTCATTCAGTTTATTGATAAAGTTGACCAAACAGAGAGCTTCAATAAGTTTATAATTAAAGATGACCAATTAGAGAGCTTTGTTTAGTTTATTAATAGAACTGACCAATAATAGAGCTGCATTCAGTATTGATATACTTGACCAATATTAAGCTCAGTTTGTTTGCCAAAAGTTTAGACACGAACAATGAAAGATAAAAGAAGAAATGATAGTATAAAGTTTTGTTAATACCGGGAAAAGCTGAAAAGTCTATCCGATTATACTTAAGCTAATAAAAATTCTTTATAGCTAAACAATAGTTGAGCAATAAGAAAGCTTCATGCAGTTTATTAATAGAGTTGATCAGAGAGCTTCACTCAATTTATTGATATAATCGACCAATCAGAGAGCTTCACTCCATTTATTGATATAGTTGACCAATCAGAGAGTTCACTCAATTTATTGAAATATTTGACCAATCAGAGAGTTCACTCAATTTATTGAAATAGTTGACCAATCAGAGAGTTCACTCAATTTATTGAAATAGTTGACCAATCAGAGAGTTCACTTAATTTATTGAAATAGTTGACCAATCAGAGAGTTCACTTAATTTATTGAAATAGTTGACCAATCAGAGAGTTCACTCAATTTATTGAAATAGTTGACCAATCAGAGAGTTCACTCAAATTACAGAAATAGTTGACCAATCAGAGAGTTCACTCAATTTATTGAAATAGTTGACCAATCATAGAGTTCACTCAATTTATTGATATAGTAGACCAATCAGAGAGTTCACTCAATTTATTGAAATAGTAGACCAATCAGAGAGTTCACTCAATTTATTGAAATAGTTGACCAATCAGAGAGTTCACTCAATTTATTGATATAGTAGACCAATCAGAGAGAATATTTAATTTATTGATACCGAGTTGACCAATCAAAAAGCTTTATTTAGTTTATTGATAGGGTTGACCAATACGAGTGCTTTATTCAGTTTATTAATATAGTTGACCAATACGAGTGCTTTATTCAGTTTATTAATATAGTTGACCAATACGAGTGTGATAATGATAATGATAATGATAATGATAATGATAATGATAATGATAATGATAATGATAATGATAATGATAATGATAATGATAACTATAATGATAACGATAACGATATTCTAGCACCAGCTGCCCCGGTCAAATCTGTGAGTGATGAGGGCCTCCCTTCAGGCTGGACTTTACAGGTTTGTTTATTTAATGTTTTATTAATCAAAATGATAAAAGACATTTGTGCATATTGCATGTAATTTAGTTTCTCTCATAATCAACCATTTTCTTAATTTATCAAATCTATTTTTTAGTTCTGTATTTTGAAATATTCCATATTTAACATATCAAGGTTGCGCCGAACGGCCGCGTGTTCTTTATCGATCATATCTCGAAGAAGACGACCTGGGTGGATCCGCGCACAGCTCGTCCTTCTCCTCTGCCTAGTCAAACTAACGTGCCCAACAGGTAACCTGTAACGTGTCCAACAGGTAACCTGTAACGTGCCCAACGGGTAACATGTAACAAGCTCAACAGGTAACCTGTAACGTGCCGAACAGGTAACCTGTAACGTGCCCAGCAGGTAACCTGTAACGTGCCCAACAGGTAACCTGTAACGTGCCCAACAGGTAACCTGTAACGTGCCCAACAGGTATCCTGTAAAGTGCCCCGAATACTAGTTTTCTTCAAATTTTATCTTTAACTGGATGGAAGAATATTAAAAAATACATATTNCATTTATTCATTTATTCATTTATTCATTTATTCATTTATTCATTTATTCATTTATTCATTTATTCATTTATTCATTTATTCATTTATTCATTTATTCATTTATTCATTTATTCATTTATTCATTTATTCATTTATTCATTTATTCATTTATTCATTTATTCATTTATTCATTTATTCATTTATTCATTTATTCATTTATTCATTTATTCATTTATTCATTTATTCATTTATTCATTTATTCATTTATTCATTTACTCATTTACTCATTTACTCATTTATTCATTTACTCATTTACTCATTTACTCATTTATTCATTTACTCATTTATCTTGACCTTGTTTTTACTCCATTCAAGAATTCAGTTCGAATATTTATTTTTCAAATTTTTTTTTTCTATTTGAAAATTGCCCTTAAAGACAGGGGAATATATTTTTTTTGAGAAATTGTACACCTTCCCTTAGTGAATTTTATTATATTATATCTTATCATAACAAAGTCCGGACATCAGTCTCTAATATTGTGGTGAATAAAGTTGATTGTATTTGTGGGAGCAGGATCTTCTTTATTGATCATAACACACGGATAACCCAGTGGGAGGATCCCAGGATATCCAATCCTCAGATAGCTGGACAGGTCAGATAATAATAGTTATTAGCAGGGGCGTATTCAGGAATTTGTCCAGGGGGGAGGGCTTGGATTTGTTTTATCTTTCCAGGGGGGGGGGGCTCAGCACCCGTTGGGGCCTGAAAACCCCCTGAAATCAATAGATTTTACTGATCATGGGGGGCTTAGCCCACATAGCCCCCCCCTGAATACGCCCCTGGTTAGTATATGTCTGCTTGAAAACTGTAACACAAGTATCTTTTATTTACCTAACTTTCAAGCTATTTTATTGGTTTATTTATATTTCTATTTTCTATCTATCTATCTATCTATAGATCAGTCCAAGGAGAATTGAATACAAGGAGAGGGCAATAGGGTTTCCGTACACTTTGCTGTTAAATTTTTTGGACTGCTGGATAACTAGTTTTTGCATAACAACAATAATAAAGGCAGCCGATCTAATGTAAACATTAACAAACATGAGTTAGTATACGGTGAATCTTCATCTAACGCCAGAGATGCACCAAATGTCTGTTTATCAGTTGTGTTATTGTTTATGTTGATCTACGAACCCTAGGGATTCGCCAGATCGAGGCATATCGGCCACGCCCCTATTCTCCACACTTTTAGAACGTTCGGCTCTAACCTGGGAACTCATATATTTATCTGTAACAGATATAATATAGACTCACTTTCCTGCAACTCTCAGGTTTTTTACAGGTTGAAAATCTATCACAAACGTACTTATTAGGTTTAAAATAAGAATGCCTACAATGGCTTAGAACATCAATAAACATAATAAATGTAAATGAGACTTTAAGGATGTTTTCCTGGTGGTTCTAATGGCTATTTACTCAATAATTGAGGTCTAATATTAGTTGAATTTAGTGTACCACTTTGTGTACTTTCTAATTTTTATGTTTCTTTAATTTAGTTTATGTTTTTTTTTACTTATTGTATTTATGTATTTTGTGTTCTCTGTGTACTCCATTCATTTTGTGTGTTTTTGTAATATTTTCTTTTTGTTTAATACTCATGCAATTATGTACTATGTATTATTTGTACTATACATCTATATTTATTTTGATTTGTGTAACTACGTTATTAGTGTACCCTATCTTCGTTGTTTACTCTGTGTACCATGTATTTTTTAGTACTGCCTGTGTATTATGTAATTTTTGTACTACTTGACCCTATGTGTACTTTTGCGCTATAGTATTATAGAATTACGTACTTTCTATTATTTGGCACGCAATTTTTAGGATTGTAAACATTCATAGAAAGTTTATTTCATATAATTTACATTTTTCCCAGCTGGATATAATGTCTTTAATGCATAAGGGACCAAAGCCCTAAAACTTGCAGAAGAAATTCTGTCTCCTATGCATTTCTAAGAATGTATAATATAAATATTCAAGTAATTCAAATGGTTTAAGAAACTAATTAACAAGAGTTTTTTATCCAGATAAAGAGAGGTTCAATTCTAGAGGATTCTTATAGACAGATCCACAACATTCCAGCTAATAAGGTGATTGGTTTCATTTGATTCATTGATTGATATAATACCGTCTACAAGCTATAACACCTTTCTTCAGAACTGATTTAGTAAAGTCATCTCGGGTTTGGAGAGGGGGAGGAGGATACCCTGTCAGTCCGATTTGATTTGATTTAATTGATTAAAAAATAATAGTTGTTTTATTATAGTTTTAAAAAATAATTATATCATTTGTGAAAGTGAACGGTTGATTTATATTTTAATTGGAACCAACCGTGTTTGAGCCGCTTGTCAAATTTTAGACGCGACTCAAATTCTTTAAATGCAGCCTCCGGTTAGTTGCAAAATTTTTGAGTTGTTAATTGATCGATTGTTTTTTCCTACAGGTTGATACGTTAAAAACAAAGCTTTGGATTGAATTTGACGGTGAAGTTGGGCTGGACTATGGTGGAGTAGCCAGGTAAAAATTTGTAGAAGCTTGACTGGACCAAAATGAAGTAGCTGGAGGTAAAAAGTTAGGAAGTTGGGCTGGACGTCGATGGAGTAGCCAGGTAAAAACATATTGACGTTGATTGGACTACATTGGAGTAGCCAAGTAATGATATAGTCGACTTGGGCTTGACTCTGTGGTTACATTTTTGATTAGTTCAAAAATTAGACGACCTCTTCATTTCTTCATTACTGAGGAGATTAAAAGACTCCATCCACCTATCTTTTTTATATTAGTCATATTTATTTNCATTTAGAGCCTCGATTAATAGCTTGTTTGATAGCTAGGCTTGTGTCCCTATGTGACATTTAGAGCCTCGATTAATAGCTTGTTTGATAGCTAGGCTTGTGTCCCTGTGTGACATTTAGAGCCTCGATTAATAGCTTGTTTGATAGCTAGGCTTGTGTCCCTGTGTGACATTTAGGGCCTCGATTAATAGCTTGTTCGATAGCTACGTTTGTGTCTTTGTGAGGCATATAAAGCTTAATTAATAGCTAGTGTCCATACTGACACCGATAGCAAACCGGATTGCGCCCAGTGGTAGTGGCGTTGATAGTTCATAGTATTGTAGCCTGGTTGACTTTGATAGCGGACAGGTTGTACCTGGACTGATACAGTTTGGGACAAAGTTTTAAGAGTACGGCATTCACTACATCCATCTATCTATCCATCTATCCATCCATCTATCCATTTATCCATCTATCAATCTATCCATCTATCTATCCAGGGAATGGTTCTATCTGTTGTCTAAGGAAATGTTTAACCCCTACTACGGATTGTTTGAGTATAGTGCTACGGATAATTACACTCTACAGGTAGTTCTTTTTTTAAATATATATTGGTTCAATATAAAATGCTAGAATGAAAATTTGTTGCGATTTTCCCCAAAATACCACCTCCTTTCCCTCTACAAAAAAAATTATGTCAGCTTTTTAATAAAGACTTTTTTTTATTTCCAAGATTGGTTGATTGATTGATTGATTGTTTTTTTCAGAAAAATTTATGGTGTAGAAAAAATTTCATATGTAATTTTTTAAGATAAACCCAAACAGTGGTGTTTGTAATGAGGATCATCTATCCTACTTCAAGTTTATCGGCCGTGTTGCCGGTATGGCCGTTTTTCATGGTAAACTTCTGGACGGGTTTTTCATCCGGCCCTTCTACAAGATGATGCTGGGCAAATCCATAGAGTTAAAGGTAGGCAGGCGTTTAATCATGCTTTTGTATACTTTCTTGTTTATTTTTCTGAAAACTCTTTTTCTCTGTACTTGGTGGAAAAAATAGATTAGAAAATTTGACATGTTTTCCTGTTTCTATTTTAAATTCATATCATTCTAAAAAATGGACAAACTATTGAAGGGAATATTTTTTGATTCTGAAAGTGCACTCCCTCTACCCCGACTGCTTGGGTCATGTGAGGTCTAACAAACAGTGTTTGTTATGTTATTTTATATTATGTTATGTTATGGGAGTTTACGGTCTCTCAGTGTTTGATATTATGTTATGTCTCAGGTCTCAGGGTTCACGAGTAATAATCGAACATACATACGAACGAACAGAGATTACTACTTTATAGATATAGATATTGTTCAGGACATGGAGTCCGTGGATACTGAATACCACAACTCCCTTCGCTGGATTAAGGAAAATGACCCCGCTGAGCTTGAACTAGCTTTTCAGGTCAGCTTGCCTTATACATTATCTACAATATGATGTACATTTTATACTGTACAATGTACACTATACAATGTACTATTGTGTTCATTACGCTAATTGCACACTTAACAATTAGATAAATTGTACACTGTACAATGTAAGCTGTACACTGGACAGTGTACATTGTACATGGTACATAGTACATTGTACATTGTACATAGTACATTGTACATTGTACATTGTAGTGTTCATTGTACAGTGTACATTGTACAGTGTACAGTGTACAGTGTACAGTGTACAGTGTACAGTGTACAGTGTACATTGCACATTGCAGAGTGTAGAGTGTAGAGTGTAGAGTGTAGAGTGTAGAGTGTAGAGTGTAGAGTGTAGAGTGTAGAGTGTAGAGTGTAGAGTGTAGAGTGTAGAGTGTTTACAGTTTACATTGTACAGTGTACAGTTTACATTGTACAGTGTACAGTTTACATTGTACAGTATACAGTTTACATTGTACAGTGTACAGTTTACATTGTACAGTGTAAAATTTACATGGTGCAAATTACAGTTTACATTTTACAGTTTACATTGTACATTGTACAGTGTACAGTGTACAGTGTACAGTGTACATTGTATAGTGTACAGTGTACAGTGTACATCGCACAGTGTATAATTCAAAGTTTTATTCAATAAATTGAAATTTAAACAAAATTCTTAATATCTCTTGTTTAAAAAAAAAAAAATAATGGAAGACCATATTTAGAAAATGGAGCACTAGGACTTTTTTGTGATAATTGTTTTTTGAAGAAATATTGCTAAAATTAGGTTGCTTATATAAAGAATGCCGCAATATATTTCTAACGTTCATTTTGATTATCACTGTAGTTTTAGAATAAATTGGTGATTTTTTAAATATTGTCTAACTCGTAGAAATAAAACTGTTTTTTTTTATTTCAAAAACTTGAAGGGGATATCGTTGTTATTTTTATTTTATCTGATCAATAATTTGGAAGATGTATCTGTTTTCTAGCTTGAAAAGAGTTCAATTCTGATAAATTCCTCTCAATAAATTTGAAGTAAAAATTCAAAAGTCACTTTTACAGAAAAAACCACAAATTAAAATTAATGCTTTTTAAATATGGATATCTTCATCATTGTTGAACAGGAAGATTTGATACCGTTGTGAATCAGACATGTAACTCTACAAATAAAGAGTCACTAAAAATTCCGTGTACAGTCCCTTAAAAATAAAAAATTTAGATTGACGAGGAGAACTTTGGACAAACAGTTTCTATAGAGTTGAGACCTGGAGGCAAGGATACTAGGGTAGGTTATCAGGGTTTATTACAGGGATATATATTTTTTACAACTTTTTTAGCCCACTTCAGGGGAATATATTTTTTTAAAATTTCAGTTTACATTTTCTTAAGAAGTAAAAAATTTACTTGTAAAAGCATTTATTTTCCCCATTAGCAGGGATTTATATTTTCTTAAAAATGATTTTTTTCTTCACCTTTTTTCTCACTAAGAATTCTAGGAATGTTTTTGATCGCTTCCACTGAATTTTAGGGGAGGGGGGGGGATAAATCTTTAAATATACACCCCTGATTGTCTTTTTAGGTGCTTGGATCCTGAATCCGGTTAAATTTTATTTTTCTTTTAATATTGTGATGACCCTGTAATGGTTTAATCTAACCAAAATATTCTAACAGTAAATTATTTTCTAGGTTACTGATGAGAATAAAGATGAATATATCCAGAGAGTTATTGAATGGAGATTTATTAATAGAGTCAAGAAACAGATGGATCAGGTTTATATTCATTTATTTATTTATTCATTCATTCAATCATTCATTTATTAATCCTTTAATTCATTCATTCATCTATTCATTTATTAGTTTATTTCATTTATTCTTTTATTCATTCATTTATTCATGTATATATCCCTTAGATCATTTATTCATTTAAATTCATCATACATTCAATCATTTAATCAGCTATTCATTTATTCATTCATCCTTTCATTCATTCATTTATTCATTCCTTCTTCAATTCGTTCATCCCTTTTTTATTTATTCATTCCTTTATCTATCCTTAAGTTGATGATTGTTACATTATAATTTAGTTCTTGTCTGGGTTTAATGAATNATATATATTCTAGGAAGTATAGATCTCACTGTATATATATTCTAGGAAGTATAGATCTCACTGTATATATATTCTAGGAAGTATAGATCTCACTGTATATATATTCTAGGAAGTATAGATCTCACTGTATATATATTCTAGGAAGTATAGATCTCACTGTATATATATTCTAGGAAGTATAGATCTCACTGTATATATATTCTAGGAAGTATAGATCTCACTGTATATATATTCTAGGAAGTATAGATCTCACTGTATATATATTCTAGGAAGTATAGATCTCACTGTATATATATTCTAGGAAGTATAGATCTCACTGTATATATATTCTAGGAAGTATAGATCTCACTGTATATATATTCTAGGAAGTATAGATCTCACTGTATATATATTCTAGGAAGTATAGATCTCACTGTATATATATTCTAGGAAGTATAGATCTCACTGTATATATATTCTAGGAAGTATAGATCTCACTGTATATATATTCTAGGAAGTATAGATCTCACTGTATATATATTCTAGGAAGTATAGATCTCACTGTATATATATTCTAGGAAGTATAGATCTCACTGTATATATATTCTAGGAAGTATAGATGTGAAGGATTGGAAGCATAACACCGTCTACAAGGAAAACACACAGATATTTTAGAATAATTTAAGGAACTGTAAACAAATTAAAGGAACTGTAAACAAAGTAAAGAAACTGTAAACAATTTAAATGAACTGTAAATAATTTAAAGGAACTATAAACAGTTTATAGGAACTGTACACAATGTAAAGAAACTGTAAAAAAATTATAGGAACTGTAAACAAAGTAAAGGAACTTCAAACAAGTTAAAGGAACTGTAAATAATTTAAAGGAACTGTAAACAGTTTATAGGAACTGTAAACAATGTAAAGAAACTGTAAACAAGTTAAAGGAACTGTAAACAAATTAAAGGAACTGTAATTAAAGTAAAGAAACTATAAACAATTTAAATGAACTGTAAATAATTTAAAGGAACTGTAAACTGTTTATAAGAACTGTAAACAAATTAAAGGAACTGTAAACAAATTAAAGGAACTGTAAACAAATATAAGGAACTGTAAAAAATTTAAAGGAACTGTAAACAAATTCAAGTGCCCCCTCTTTCTCCGATTCACAACTGTACCCTTGAAATCTTAATCTGATCAATAATTAGAAGGAAACTGTCGTTTTTCTGGTTCGAAAGGTGTTTATTTAATATTGAGACCTGTTCTTCCGGTTTTGAATGTTCGTATCAAATGTCCGAGCAGTCTGTTGTAATTCCGTCAATAAATCAATCAATCAATCTGTTTGTGACTGTGTGCAGGGTGACTACCATCCCAACCATATTGTTATTCAATGGTTCTGGAGAGTTGTACTGTCCTTCAGCAACGAGATGAGGTGGGAATTTTTTTAGCGGATTTATGGAAGATATTTACAGGGATAAAACAGGGATATATGGAGGATATTTACAGGGATAAAACAGGGATATATTAAGGATATTTACAGGGATAAAACAATGATTTATTGAAGAAATTTACAGGGATAAAACAATGATTTATGGAAGATATTTACAGGGATAAAACAGGGATATATGGAGGATATTTACAGGGATAAAACAGGGATATATTAAGGATATTTACAGGGATAAAACAATGATTTATTGAAGAAATTTACAGGGATAAAACAATGATTTATGGAAGACATTTACAGGGATAAAACAATGATTTATGGAAGATATTTACAGGGATAAAACAAGGGTTTATGGAAGATATTTACAGGGATAAAACAAGGATTTATGGAAGATATTTACAGGGATAAAACACGGATATTTGAAGGAAATTTACAGGGATAAAACAGGGATTAATAAATTCTAAATTATATTTTCGCTTTGTATGAATAACATGACTACTACCCCCAGCAGAAAAACACAGTAAGCAGGATTACGCACAAAGGACGAGACTGTGAAGACGACCTGAACCTCTTTAACATGAGTCGATCTTAAGATTAAATTAAGTCTTATTATCTTATGTCTTGAATGTATTCTTTAAATGGCTTATTTAATGGTTTGGCAAAGAAAGAAAGAAGTTGATTTAATTTTATAGTTGTATTATAAATTCCATATAGTCGTCTCTGAAGNGCAGGAATTTGTGAATATAAGGAAACAAACACTATTAATTCCGTACAGTCGTCTCTGAAGTCTCATCCTTTAAGGGGAACCCTGTATGTATGGAAAAATTTCGTTAAAAAAACATTTTATTTTATTGTAAATAATAAAAAAACATTAATTTGTTTAGATTTATAGTTTCAGATTGAGATTACATACATCTCCATACTTTTGTTTTATTCTTATGCTACAGGGTGTCCCATATATAATTAAATCTGTATTTTCCTTGAGAAGTAGTTGTACTGCCCCAACAGTGTTACAATAGTCGAATATCACAAGGTTTGTTAATTTCTCTAAAGAAATAGATCATCAGGAGATATTGGGAGAATTTCCCAATTTTATTTTCCAAATGTACATTTTTTAAAGTGGAAACTCTTCAAATGTACATTTTTTAAAGTGGAAACTCTTCAAATGTACTTTTACTTAAGTTAAAATTACTCTAATGTACATTTACTCAAGTTAAAACTTCTTAAATTCACATTTATTAGGTAAAAACTACTAAACTGCAAATTTGCTCAAGTGAAAACTACTCAAATGTACATTTACTCAAGTATAAACTACTCCTATGTACAGTTATTCAAGAGTGAAAACTCCTTAAATTCACATTTTATAAGTAAAAACTACTAAAATGTAAATTTACTCAAGTGAAAACTACTCAAATGTACATTTCTAACAGTGGAAAATTCCCCAATGTACATTTAATCAAGTGAAAACTACTCAAATGTAAATTTACTGAAGTGAAAACTACTTAAAGTTACATTTACTCAAATGAAAACCACTCAAATATAAATTCCCCAATGCACATTTACTCACTTGAAAACCTACTCAATTGTAAATTTACTCAAGTGAACACTAAGAATATGCACGTACTCAAGTAAAAACTACTTAAATGATTTATTCAAGTGAAACTACTCAAATGTACATTTACTCAAGTGAAAACTACTAAATTTAACTTACTCAACAAATATACACTTACTCAAGTGAAAACTTCTTAAATGTACATTTACTCAAGGTAAAACTATTCAAAAGTATAATAACTCAAGTAAAAACTACTCAAATATACATTTACTCAAGTGAAAACTACTTAAAGTTACATTTACTCAAATGAAAACCACCCAAATATACATTAACTCAAGTGAAAACTACCCAAATGTATAAATTCTTTAAGTGACACTTTTCCTTTTTGTTGAATCTTACAGCGCTCGGCCCCCATATATTTTTCTTTCAAAAATGTATGGCGTAGAACTGAACTTATCCTATCATTAACTGTAAAATCGTTCCTCCTAAAGCTCTAATTGTTATTTAGATAAATTAAGTAATTTGACCGAAAACCATTTACTTAACTTTTTTTTGAAAAATGTGACAACCAAATAGATACACTTTTTTGAACCTACTAGCTGAAGGACCCGGCGTTGGCCGTGGCAAAAAAAAATTTAAAAAAAGAAATATTAAATTTTTTTTAAAACAAAATGTTCGATTTTTTTATAGCCTATAACACTCCCCGGCCACCCATAAATGTGTACAAAAAAAATGTCAGCCCAATAGGTCCAGTCGTTTGGCCGGTTTTACGCAACATATATTTATACGAAAGTCTTGTTTTATTATAAGGATTACCTAATACTAATGCTGCTCCTTCATCGGTTATTTTTTGACATCCTTGGACCTAAGTTTACAGTGATTTTTTAATTTCTGTTAAAAATTAGGTTTTTGCATTATTTATTGATAGAAATTAATTACTCGTTTCAAACTCTAGTTTTCTAATTCTTGCAACCTGATTACGTTTACCATTTGAAAAAGAAAATACATAGTTGGAAATATCTAAGATCTACGACATAAATTTACAAATAAAAATAAGAATTTTTTGTTGTGTTATTATCTTCAATGTACAAAGAAGAAAGGCCTGCAGACACAACCAAAAAAGCTAAAATTAATATAGAAATACAGGCGCGACGCGCCACTGAAACCAAGTACCTTAAAAGCTGCGATTTGGGTAGATTTTCCATATCTCTCATCATAGGATCCATCAAGATTCTCCTGTAGAACTAGGGTTCGCACTCCCTACAGGGCAATTATTATCATAAATATAGCTAAAAAAATCTTAAAGGGAGTGACTGGCAATGTATGGTAGTTGAACTGAGAATGTAGTATTGTGTATAAATTGTGTATGATTCATTTGAAACATATTAAACGTTTTAATGATGTATAATTACTAAGTTTGAGCGATAAGTCGACGTTCAAAATCATTCATTTTGGTGGTTACGTTTTGAGAATCGATTTATTTTTAATTATTAAATAACGACAACAAGAAATGTAAAAAAATTCTAAAGTTAACTAATCAGATATTTTGGAACATATTTCTCAATTGAAATTTTCTCAATAAACAATAAATCAATGTTAGAATCAATTAAAATTCGTTTCAATCATTATATTGAATTTCTTATTCCTTAAGAATTTTTCGCAAATTTATTCAAATTCTTCAAATGTTTTAAAATCATCCATTTGGGTGGTTACGTTTTGAGAATTGATTTATTTTAAATTATTAAATAAGAAATGTAAAAAAAATCTTCAGTTAACTTATTAGATGTTTAGGAACATATTTCTCAATTGAAATTTTCTCAATAAACAATAAATCAATGTTAGAATCAATAAAAATTCTTTTTTATCATTATATTGAATTTCTTATTCCTTAAGAATTGTTTGCAAATTTCTTCAAATTCTTCCAATGTTTTCTTTTCAATAAAAATTCCAGGAAATCTAGAGAAAATGTTTGTGATCAATAAAACATTACAGAAAACCAATAACTGAATAAAATTACTTATTTCGATGATAATAGTTAATTTTTATTTTCTCAACCTGTTCCTTAACAACTAATCACTAATCAGTTTACTGTAGAATTTTTACAACATTTTTCGTCGTCGTTATTGAATTTTTTAATTTTTTTTTTCAAAATCATCCCTCAAAAATGAACAACTATCTCAAATGATTCCTAAAAATATCCTAAAAATCAGTTCAACTACCATACATTACCACTCCCTTTAAGAGTTCATCCCTTAATTACCTCTAAACTTGTCAATAAAACATTTTTTAGGCCATTTTTAAACTGTCAAAATATTTGAAAAAAATTTTTTAGCCACTCCCAGGTGGAGCCAAAGAAAGGTGTAAAAAAGACGCGATTTTTCACCTTTTTCTAAATATTTGACCATCAGTAAAAGAATTTTTGTTTTAAATGTCAAATTTCGTCCATTCCATGATTTCCAAAATCACAATTCAAAATTTTAGCCGAGAATGGTTAAAAAAGGTTGAAAAAAGGCCAAAAATGGCGGGAAAAACAGTGAAAAAACTAAGCTATATATGAAAATTATATTAAAATGCTATAATTTCGAATTTGAGCTAGTTTTACCCCAATGCTTCCTAAAAAATAGGTCGCACATCTGGGAATTTTTTTCAGCCCCTACAGGGAAATTAAATGTAAAGCTTTGCGGGAAAAAAGAACAAATTGAATTTTTTAAAATCTTTTTTATAATGCGTAGGCCCATAAGTTTAAAGGAACTAACCAGTGAACACTTGACTATAACTCTCATTTTCTAATCTTTTTATCTTTGCTAACTGGTTTTGTGGAACTTAGATATTTAAAACTATTTTTATTACTGTTTTTATTTTTACAAATTCTTCTTTACCAAATTGTTAACGTTAGAAATATCTGAGGTTTACGCCATCAAACTGCAAAGATTTTAAAATTTTAAATTTAGATTTTGAGACAAGCTTCAGTTTCATTAATGATAACGTCAAAAACTTGCATATTATGGAAATGTTAACAAAATGACGAATTTTGCCACAAACTAAAATTTCCTAACTTTAATTTCTATCTTAACACCCTAATGGTGTACAGATTTCAAACTTAAGACTTTGGATTGCAATGATATAGGTATTGGACCATTGTGACAAATATTCAATTCCTTTTACCTTATCTGAAACTGAGGTAAAGGACACATCAAGAGCACGTAAATTTGGACAGTAGACTCCCACCACTGAGAGGAAATCATCACCTTACAAGAAAAACATAAAAATGCGAAATATTGAAAGATCTGAAACTTTGAAAAGGAAATGAATAGAGATAGTAAGACGATTGACTAATAGAAAAGGGTTGGGTAGACTCTGTCACTTGCCAATAAAAAAATAATTTTTCCTATTGCAACCGAATTTTTACCGAATAGTCTATTCGAATTATTTATCTACATAAAGTTTACATATTTTAGCAGCAAATGCAAAATAAATTAAAGAAAAAAAGCATCATACATTTTCTTTTTTCATTCACAATGACTTAAAAAATGCAAAAAAATTAGAAATTACGTACGTTATATAGAATTAAAATATTTAAAAACTAAAAAACTATCTTTTTTTTCAAATTTTAATGTAGCAAAAAAAATACCTATATTCGAAGACGACACCTCTATTTTGAGTAGAGTACCCCCAACTGTAGAGATTAAATTGTTAAGAATTCCACGCGGTATTTTCATACACCTTTAAAATTATGCGTAAAGCTATCAAACGTTTTACGAATATTCAAGATTTTAAGGTGACTCCTGCACAAAAGTCTCACCTAGATTCAAAACCATCAACTTATGCAAAATGTTAACCCTTGGCAAGATATAAGCCTGAAAACAAAAGAACCAACTTTTCGAGGATACAAATTTGAAAAATTCTACTTCCTGGATATTGGTGGAGTCTCTTGAAGCCAGTAAACCATTGAATGTTTAATAATGACTAAATAGGATACCTAACACATCTGTTAAATATCTATATATATGTATATAAAGTTGTAATCTTTCTTTGTCTGTCCGTTTATTCGATCACAACTTGGGAAACCCCTGGACCGATTTGCCTCAAATTTTTATTAAGGAACTTGGTTTTGAAATCCTTAATTGAGTGGGTTGACTTGAATAGCGAAAATATAGTTGTAGCATCTCTCTACAATAATCTGTACCTGGATATATTCAACTGTTCTAGTTTGTAGCATCCCTCTACTATAATCTATACCTGGATATATTCAACTGTTCTAGTTTGTAGCATCCCTCTACTATAATCTGTACCTGGATATATTCAACTGTTCTAGTTTGTAGCATCGCTCAAGAGTGATCTGCAGCATTAAATTCAAGTCTGCTTCGCAACCAGAAAAATCCAGTAGCTTGTGGTAGATACTGTACACAACATTTCACTTATTTTTGGAATATTTTCGTGCTTTTTCTTTCACCTGCCTCTTTAAACTTTGATTGCAACACTGACTGCAACTAAATGCAGTTACATTACATCTGGGTCATTGTTAAAACAACATGTTTATCAAAACAAATAAAACTTATAACAACAAAAAATTTAGGGTTAAACAAATATTAAACGTCTCAATCAATTTTGAAGGAAACTCTAGAGTATAAAGCTATGGAACTGCAATAGTCTACAATTACTTGAAGGGCTTACTCCCAACACCCAAAAATTAAAAAAAAAAATTTCATGGGACATAGCAGCTTTCTAAAAATGATAATCCTTTAAAAAAGAAGTTGTTTGAATAACAGGTAGGAAACAGAATTTAATCATTTTTAAACGTGTATGTTTCCCCCCGAATCCAAGCTTAAACTGAACAAAGTAAATAATGTAAATAAAAACAAAGATTAAAGAGACTGTTCGCTAGTTTCAAGTAAACTTTCATCTGAAGGATTGTTTACCCGATTCACAACGGTACCTTTTTCTAATTCAAAGCAAAAATCAATGAGTTACACTTGTTTTTCTATCTTCTAATTGATAATTCCCAGTTGAGGTTCTTGTAAAAGTGTATTAAAGATGTATGCAGGAAAAAACGGCGAAATCCTCCAAGATGATAATGGGTACCGTAGTGAATCGGTGCGTAACAATTGTAAATAGGTGAACAGTCTCTTTAAAGTGAAGTAGCGTGAAACAAACAACTCGGTATTTGTTTGATATGTTTATAAAGTCAGCATGACTAAGGTAAATATATCCCTCCTGGGATATCTTATTACAAGGAGTGCTTCATCCTGCTATTTAGTCATGGATAATGGTAAATATCTACGAAACTTCTTAGTTTTCCGGAATATTAAAAAGTATGATTTCAGAACGCTTTGCGCCCTTTTTTTATGTATTCTTTCGTTGCGTACAACGCTTAGCGTTTTCTCTTGTTGTATACTAAAATAGACTTAACCATTTATTAGTTTTTTTGTGATATGATAATCTATATCTTCTATAATCTGATGGATTCAGATAAATCCTTTGAGATATCTCTTCTTTGGATTCCAGAAACATCAATTATGATTCCTTTGGCCGAATTTAAAGAATTTGAGCGGTGGTTTAAATTTAAGCCGCGGTTTAAATATGGTTGGTTCCACTTAAAATTGTATCAAATGTTTCAAGATTTAAGCCGGCGCTAAATTTAAACCGGGGTTTGGCGGATTTTGACGGATTTAAACCGCGGCTCAAATTCTTTAAATTCCATCTCAGAAAACATTTTGTCTCGGCCAAAAAAGATCCCGATAATTTAAGTCATTTCACTTGATCGACACAAATTTAATTTTCGATATGAAAATCAATAAAAAGCGTAGAACATCAGAAACTTATATCTAAACTTAAATTATAATTATAATCTCCCATTGGCTCAGAAGATTATAATCTCCCATTGGCTCAGAAGATTATAATCTCACATTGGCTCAGAAGATTATAATCTCCCATTGGCTCAGAAGATTATAATCTCACATTGGCTCAGAAGATTATAATCTCCCATTGGCTCAGAAGATTATAATCTCCCATTGGCTCAGAAGATTATATGGTAAAGTTAGGAATCAAAGCAAGAATAAGCTTAATCTGTTTCACGACTAAACAGTAAACATGTTTTCTGACGGGCGGGCTGGAATTTAACAAAACAATTCTGACCTCTGAGTTTTCCTGATTATATTACATTCTTTTGCAAAAAATAATGTCATGAATAATGTTCTGATGTCCTGCCCAAAACTCAAAAATTAAAAATACGATTTTGATCAATACTTTTAATGAATAAAGTGAAGGTTGCCTAATGAGTAGATATATGTGATGTCTCCGTAACTGCTTTCTTTCTTTTAAAGAAACAAATATCTCCTAAACAAATTCAGACTTGCATCACAAACAGAATCAATAACTTTTAAAGTCTTCAGATTTACTAAGTAAATCTTGCTTTTTAGAAATTTCATTGAAGGTATTTTAATTTTTATATCTTTAAATTATTAGAAATCATCCTTTTTATTTAAAAGCCTGTCGACGCCAGTTAAAATAACTCTACATTAAATATGTACATGCGTGTAATTCACGTTTTCTTCCTGAAAATTGATCATTTCTATTCCTGAAGTGACTGAATTAAAGTAACTGAATTGACGGAAGTTATTTGACGATATCTTTCCTTATGTGACTAGAATAAAAGATTAAATGGTACCGTTACTATTCGGCAGGTAAAAAGGGAGTTACTTGAGATAACGTCGACAGTCCCCATAATGTTTACTTGCACACAGTCATTTTAGTGTTTACTTGCACACAGTCCCCATAATGTTAACTTTCACACAATCCCTTTAATATTTACTTGCACACAGTCCCTTTAATGTTTACTTGCACACAGTCCCTTACACAGTCCCTTCAATGTTTACTTGCACAAAGTCTCTTTAATGTTTACTTGCACACAGTCCCTTTAATGTTTACTTGCACACAGTCCCTTTAATATTTACTTGCACACAGTCCCTTTAATGTTTACTTGCACACAGTCCCTTTAATGTTTACTTGCACAAAGTCCCTTTAATATTTACTTGCACACAGTCCCTTTAATGTTTACTTGGACACAGTCCCATTAATATTTACTTGCACACAGTTTCTTTAATATTTACTTGCACACAGTATCTTTAATGTTTGCTTGCACACAGTCCCTTTAATGTTTACTTGCAGAACACAGTCCCTTAAATGTTTACTTGGACACAGTCCCTTTAATGTTTATTTGCACACAGTCCCCTTAATGTTTACTTCTACAAAGTCCCTTAAATGTTTACTTGCACAACTCAATTCCTTAAATGTTTACTTGGACACAGTCCCTTTAATGTTTATTTGCACACAGTCCCCTTAATTTGTACTAAGTCCCTTAAATGTTTACTTGCACAACACAATCCCTTAAATGTTTACTTGGACACAGTCCCTTTAATGTTTACTTGCACAAAGTCCCTTTAATGTTTACTTGCACACAGTCCCCTTAATGTTTACTTGCACAAAGTCCCTTTCATGTTTACTTGCACAACACAGTTCCTTAAATGTTTACTTGTGCACAGTCCCTTCAATGTTTACTTGCACAACACTGTCCCTTTAATGTTCACTTGCACACAGTTCCATTAATATTTACTAGCACGCAGTCCCTTTAATGTTTACTTGCACACAGTCCCTTTAATGTTTACTTGCACACAGTCCCTTTAATGTTTACTTGCACACAATCCCTTTAATGTTTACTTGCACACAGTCTCTTTATTTCTCTAGAATACCTGTGACAATGAAGGAATGATGGAGTCGAAAGGTCCGATGATAAATTTGCAATGAGATTTTTTATAAAAATAATCCAGGAAATGTTTAGACCAAACTTCATCCATATTCTGACAAACATTCTCAATACAGAGTCTTTGCAAGGACATGAAAGCCCGTTGTCGAACTCGAGGCATTTCTGAAAAAAAAATTGAAAAATGAATAATGGTCGTTGGCGGGTCAAGACAAGGAAACTACAGGGTTACTCACAGAGGAAGGATGAGACTTTAGATTTGATTGTACGGAATTTGTACTCTCCGTTTTCTTATATTCACGATTCATAGTGACTGTAAACTTGTTTGTTTCTTTGCCAAATCAGTATAAAAACCATAAAAGACTGCACTTAAAGGGACTGTTAAGGAAAAATGGAAGGGGGTATAGTCTGAAAACTAATCACTTTAGCTCTTTAAATCGCGACACACGAAAGTTATATCTGATGTTCCTGTCTCGAGAAATTAATATAGAACTGTGTCAAATTTATACGAAAATTCATGTATATACAATTTTGTATAGAAATAGTAGATTTAAACAGATCATATTCAGCAAATACGCAACCAATCAGAAAACGAAGATAGGGTTTCTCCAATTAATATTTCATAATTTTTATTTTTATTTTAAATAGATATAATTGATAATGTTATTTATAAGTCCGTATAACGTCACCAGAACTCCCACCAATGGTAGTGCAGTTTATTGGTCACGTGATATAGACGAAGACACGTGACCAGTATACTGCACAACCATTGGTGGGAGTTCTGGTGACGTAATATGTAATATTCGTATAAATTTTACACAGTTTTATATCAGATGTAACTTTCATGTGTCGCGATAAGAGCTGAAGAAATTAGCTTTCAGCCAATACCCCCTTCCATTTTTCCTTTACAGTCCCTTTAAGTCAGACATAATTTAACCTTAGAATTGTCATTTAATGAGTTTTAGGTCGTCTTTACAGTCTTATCCTTTGTTCCTTTGTGGGTTAACATGTATAAGGTTTTTATTTAAATTTTTCTTGTCTTTGATTAAAAACGTAGTGCACTGCGTTTTCATGGGGAATAAAACTTAACTCTGCCCTTGCCACGCCTTAAATTTGTTTACATTCCTCCCAAAATCTGCAGTACACTTAATTATTAAACAATGATATTGGGGTTTCTTAGAGGTATAAAACTAACAATTTAATTTGTTATCACAGCTTTATAACATTTTGTTTTCTGTCCATACATTGTATTATTATTTTTATAAATGTAGGGGTTTTGGACAGATCATGGGGGGGAATTAATTTATAAGAGTATATATTTAAATATGATACCCCAGGGTATGAAGGGAATCTTAAACTAATCATTTTAAAATGTATTTGAACTGAAATTGAGCAGAAATGTAATCCTCAAATTAAGATTGAAATGAAAGTTTCAAACAGAGTAAGAACGGCCAGGGGTTGCAAGCTGGATCTCTCTAATGGTTGAAAACTAACAGGGAAGGGGGGGGGGAGTAAAATAAAGAATCAGGAACGAGGGGGGGGGGGCTTGTGCCAAGTTTTCAAGCATTAAATATCAATAATACAGAAAATCTCTTTTTTGTCTGGTTCATCATAGATCTTCATGGCAGAGTAGGTAATCGCTTTCACCTCAGTGCCCTGAACAAAGTAATTTGAAAAAACCAATTTTTTCCTTAAAGTTTTTTGGCACTTTTTTTGCCTAACCTGCGGATGCTTTTGAATATTGAACTCCTCTCCGTATCCGACTTAAGTCAGCAGACTTGATTTTTGCCACGTTTTAAATATCATTAAATTTATTTTTGTGTAATTTTCATCTTCACTAGGAAAAATATACAATAAGTACAAACAGGAAAAAATAAGAACAAAAATGCATTTATCTTCATGAAATTGAAGTGAGCAGTACCTAATTACTTTTGCATGCATGATAATACGATCCTTTTGTCAATCAATCAATTCATCATAAGTCTGTTTGCCTGATTTAATTCTGAAATTTTCCAGGTCAAACTCTGTGATCACAATCTTCCTGTAGTTTATTGACTCAAGTTATTTCTCCAATCATTCAATGTCAAACTTTAAATTTAATGTCAGTAAGAATTTCAATAGTTTTTGTTGGAAATAACTAAGTTCCTGGGAATAAAAAAATCTTCTGCACTGAAAATGTATAACCATTCATCTAAATAGTGGAATAGTAATCCCTCAAGATCATCACCTAAACATTATAATCTCTATATAAGTAAAAATCTTTTTTTGTCTCTCTATATGTCCGGTCTTTACCCTTGAACCCCTGGACCGATTTGTCTCAAAGTTTATTTTGTTATCCTGGTAAAACCACGGAAATGTCCTAAGCTTGGTTTAAAAAAAAGATGAGTGGGTTGACTTGTAGGGAAAGCATAGTTTCCAGGCAAAGCTGAGCTTCCAAGCATGCTTCAAGGTGGGCCAGGCAAGAATTAAGTTAAAAGCTAGTAGCGTTGAAACCTTCTGAGGTACTAAGTAGATTACAATTGTTTCTGTAGAATGATCAAGTATTACTGTAACAAAGCTTGACTTCAGAAATCCTCTAAAATGTGTTATTTTATTTGGCAATTCAGTTTTCTTCTATCCATTAAAATAGAACATTTTGATTTATGTAAAAAATCATTGGTAAACTGAAAACTATCGAGGATAACTTTGCCACGCATACCATCAAGATGGGTGTGGCTTCATACGGGGACCAAAATATCCCCAGAAGTTTTGTTTAATATTAATAATGTGTCAAAGATGATGGTGGCCACTTCAAACATTCGGTTGTAATATCTCTGCTTGTCTTTCTGTCTGTCTGTTTGTCCGATCATAACTCAGCAACCCCTGGACCGATTTTCCTAGGGAGAGCTATGGAAATTTTCTTTGCTTGAATTTGAGATTTTAAAGGGATTGTTCACCAGTTTACAACGTACATTTTGGAAATTATTAAAAACAAACACACATACAAGCAAACAGACAGACAAGCAAAGATTACTACTTTTATATAGAAGACTAGCTTGGGAACTAAATTTTTAAAACCAAGCTAAGAACATTACCGTTTTATTCAACAAAAATTTGAAGTTATTATCGGACATACAAACAAGTAAACAAACTAAGATTACTAATTAAAAGATAGACTATGATGAGAACCCAGCGTTGCCCAGGGTACTTATAGTTACTCCCGCCGTTTACCCGCGCTTAGTCGTTAATGACGATTTTAGTGGACCCACTCAACTTAGAATCTCAAAACCAAGCTAAGAATATTCCGGTGGTTCTTCCGAGTTCTTCAATATATATTTGAGGCAAATTGGTCAAGGGGTTCTTGAGTTATGATCAGACACACAAACAAACAGAAATTACTACTTTTTAAATATTGATTCCGTTCTCTTGTCTTATCTCCGGAATTTAAATATTTGAATAGGAATGACAAGAATTCTTATCTTTCATAAACATTCAACTCGGTTCTGATGAGTTCTATATGTGAACGCTAGATGTAGCTGGATATCAACTTACAAAACCACTTTCATATGTTAAAAATACTTCTTGAGAATTTTTTTAAATAAGTGTTATTGAAAAACAATACGTCTATAATTAATACCCTGCAGTCTTGTATTCATGATACAGCTTCGTTTTTTTACACTTATATTTCGTGAGTTTGTATATTTTATTGAACGCAGGAGTGTTACGATGCCCTTGACTTCAAGATGGATGTATTTCTTGTACTCAAATATTTATTTAATGTCCTGAAGGACAAATATGTGTATATTGATTTTTTCAAATTGATTATAGATATCTGGAGGCAAAACAGTTTATTGAAATACCCATTTATATTATTATTATTATAGATAAGCATTGAAAAGACTGGATCATTTTATTGATTAGACATTTTATAAGAAGAATCACTTTTCAGTAAAATGTGGGAATGAAATAAAGTAGTGTTAGTAGGTGAACAGGTGGAAGAGGAGGAACGAGTGTGGGTTTTTACCACTTTCAGAAAAAATGAGGGATTTTCTTGCTCTGACAAGGAGGATGCAGCTAATGAATTAGCTTTGCTGTACTTCAAACACTTAAAAAAGTTACAAAAAGGAAAAAATCAGTGTACACTTTAAATGATTCTATATTAAGAGGATCATTTGTAGTAAACCCCGAGATTTATTTGATTTAACTAACAGAACTCTTCCTTTTCTTACAAAATAAATTGCAATAATTAACTCTCGTAATTATATTTATTGATCTAAGTTTATTAATTCTTGATTATCGATTTCAGGACATTAATATTCCGATCCAAATTCAACTCTCATGGCAAAGAGTTGCAACAACTCCAACCGCTGCTCCATGATCAGGGACATGTTTCTAACGAGCGCCAATTCCTGCTTGATCTGATGCTCTTCCTTGCTACAGACCATCTTGCATGGTTTCTAAATGTATCTATAATTACCAGACGCAGCTCTTGCCAAATAACTTTAATCCGGCCCTTTATCTTCTGCCAGTTCTCCTTGACGAGGTTCACCTGCCCCTTGTTCGGTTGTAGGCCCAGCTTTCCCCACATCATGGTGAACTCATCCTCATCTGCAGCGGCATCTTCAAGGACAGGAATATCCACGGAAACTGCTTTATCATCCCCCTGCTGGTACTCCCTTTCCTCCGACTCTCCTTCATCCAGATCATCCTTTCCAGCGTCCAGATCATCCTCTCCTTCATCTCCGGAACTCTCAGATACCTCTGCAACGGAGAGAGCGGGGACAGAGGAACAGCACACACTTTAAATGATTCTGTATTTTGTGTGTTTTGCAAGGTTATGGAAATGACGTTAGCTACCAGCACAACATATATTATCTCAAATGTTACTTATTATTCAAATTCAATGGAAGTGTGTACCATATCCTGTAAGTGCTTTCAAAGCACCCCCTTTATTTTTCCCATAGTATCCATGCTTATCTGGCATACACATTGAATCCTAAAAAATTCAGGCCAGATCTGAACCACTAGATTCCATATAGACCAGGGAAAGTGGCGGAGCTCAACCCTATCTTCATTGTATTTCAGCCTACAGGTCGTTGTACTTTGTCTGTAGGTTGATTAATAATAATAATAATAATGTTGAGTGGGTCGACTTTTATTGGGAAAAATAGCTAAAATTGTAACATACGTCAAAGCAAGGGTAAACGGCGGGACTAACCATGACTACCCAGGGCAGCGCTGGGTTCGCAAGATAATGATGTGTATTATGTTTTGCAGTAAATATGAATAAATGTAATTAGCACTCACCATTAGCTTCCACCTCCACCTGCTTTGTCATATCCACTGTAGCAATATCCGTCATATATCCAAACATAGACATACCAACATTCTCAAATGCTTCCTCAGGACAAATATCAATCAATCAATCAATCAATAATTGTTATCTAGGAATTTTTAACATTTTAAAATTGAATATTTTTGAGTCAAATCCATGATTTCTGTAAGAAATTTTATGATTAAATTACACCTTTTCATTATTTTGATATCTGAACCTTGAAAGTGTTTCCCCATGCATGAAGTTGAACGTCAGCAGTGTGATCCAGGTATTCAAATTTTACCTTTAGATATAAAAAGAAATTTACTAATGCCTATATCTTAACAACCTGAGGCTGAATTTTAAGAATTTGAGCCGCGGCTCAAATATGGTTGGTTCCACTCAAAATTGTTTTCAATGTTTCAAGATTCAAGTCGGAGCTTATGTGAAAGCGGTTTTTGGCAGATTTGAGACGCAGCTCAAATTCATTAAATTTGGACTTTGATGAAGTAAACCTTAGCTATGTCAAACTTATTTGATCTAACAGAATTCATAGTTGAAATTGGGTAGCAAAGATTTAGGGATAAGAACATCAGAGTTTATGACAAAGACACTTTAAATTACAATTCACAAATTAACTTGCATTACGAAAAATAAAGATCCTAATTATATAGCAGGAAAAATTGTCATTGGCAGACTTAATGAATTTTGATGTATAAATCATAAATTGGCAAATACTTAATGAAATCCACACTTTAACGTTAATGTTTACAAAAGCTGGAAATCAATGGTAACATCGGATTCAAAATATTGATTGAACAGAAAACTGAACACTCGGAAATTGTTGATGACCCTTGCAATGAAATAATTTGGACATTTGAATTGAATTGAACAAAAACTTTGATAATAGGTCTTAAAAGTTTTTAACGAACGACCTCTGGAATTGTGAGATCGGTTCCTTCTGGAATATTTTCAGCCATTCTTTTCTGAAAATATATAAATGTCATAAAAATGTAAATTTTTCAATTCATTAAACTAGAACTTCGAGCACAGCACTTTTGGCAATCCTCTAGTTATACAAAATGCTGTTATACTATGATTCAGTGTATACAATAATGTATATTGTATAATTTTTGAAACGATATCGTAGAACCTGTTAAATCCTTTTTAATTAAAACAGATTTAATTTTGATTTATCTAAAAAGTGACGCTTTCTGAATCTGCGTCTAAATCTGAGCTGCGAACTTTTGATGGAGACACATAAAGCTAAGTATGTTACTGAAGCGTTAAGTAGGTTTATTTCACATCACCACTTTTTATATTTCAAGAAAAGTTTCCCATGTGGAGAGCACGAAACAAACAAATATAGTTAGGAAAGAATGAAAATGAAGATCAATTTTCTTCGTTTTGTTATCTAAATTTTTCCCTTACTTTCATAGACGACAAATTCCATTATTTCCATAGGAAAACTATATTAGGATCTTTTTCTCTTACTTTCATAGGTGAAAAAATGTTAAGCTCAGGTTCCATTATTTCCATAAACAAACTATATTAGGATCTGCTTCGATTCTGAAATCTAGATCTTGAGAGGATAAACCTGAACCAGTCAAAAGTTTGAGTTAAAATCAAAAGCATATTTAGAAAATCCGCATACCTCAATTAATACTTTTACCCCCCCACCCACAAAAAAATAGAATTTTAATATAGTAAATAACACCTTATAACCTTTTTTTGTCACAAGTAAAGTACCCGCCATTGAAGCAAAAAGAAGTAAATGATCTTTCAATTAATAAATCAATAAATTAGAACTAAATTTTTGGTAGGTTCCCTGTTTTGATAGATATATGATCGGTAGAGAATTCTCCTGTAAACCAGCTGTACAAAGATTCTGTACACTCGTTCTCCCCCTGTAAAATGTACATAAGTGAACTAACTGTACATGGACTTTATACACAAACTTTTCCACTGAACAGTTTGCAATAGCATTTTTACAAGCTGTACATGGACATGGACTCGTTTTCCCACTGTTAAAATTAGTAAACTAACCAGTTGAAACTATTCCAAGATCTAGTTACAGTACAGTACATAACAGCAAAGTACAGTGCAGTATAGAGGAGTACAATACAGTACAAAACTCTTCAGTACAGTACAGTAGGTAGTACTGTACAGTAGGTAGTACAATACATTAGGTAGTGCAGTAAAGTACAGTAGGTAGTTCAGTACAGTACAGTACAGAACAGTACAGTTCAGTACAATACAGTACAGTACAGTACAGTACAGTACAGTACAGTACAGTACAGCACAGTACAACACAGTACAGTACAGTACAGTACAGTACAGTACAGTACAGTACAGTACAGTACAGTACAGTACAGTACAGTACAGTACCTGATAAACTGGGTACTTGTGAACCCTCCTCAAAGCTCCCTTTAAGACCAGAAACTGAATTAGTCTTCTCTCATCAAACCCAAGCTTTCCTGGATTCATCCTTAACAAAATATTTTAAGTTGTGTTTTATATCCTTTTAACTGAGCTTTTAAAGGACAAATCAAGCTCTGTTTGTTACTCAAGAGCTAGATACGGTCAAATCCCAGCATAGATCAAAAGTAATGAATAGCTAGAAGGAGTTGAACAGGTTGAACTCAGGGAGTAAGGAATAGAAGGGAGATATAACTGACGCGGTTCGCCCTACCATATGATTATACAGGGTGTCCCAATAAACATGGGAATTCAGTGACGAATCCGATATAGTCTTTTTAACTAATTCTTTGATTTAGTATAGTGATACCTACAAACAAGAAAATTGCAGTATACAAACAGAGAAAACTTGTCCGTCTTCACTGTTCATCTTGCGGAGACATTATAGACACATCTTTACAGTCTTTTACCCTTTTCATAAAATAAACTCTAGCAGACATATAATATTATGGCTTTTGAAATTAGATGTTACAATGCTAATTCATAAAAAAGACGATATCGAATTCGTCACTGAATTCCCATGTTTTTTTGGGACACCCTGTACATGCTTTGCAGACGGGTACTCCATTTGTATATGAAATATTCAGAAAAGGTTTTTGTATACGCGGTAATTGTACATCAGACAAATATTTTTCTTATACAAATGGAGTACCCGTCTGCAAAGCATGTATAATCATATGGTAGGCCAGGGCGAACCGCGTCAGTTATATCTTCATCATAGATGATGTTTTCATTTAACATTTACCAATCATAGGTCAGCATTACCAATCTTGGTATTTCCATTCTTAACATATTTTTTTTTAATCAGTACGTTAAAATTTTTTTAGAGGGTTGAAAAAAAAGATAAGTGAAATTGCGAGTAAAATAAATAAAAAGGATGCTTTTGATTGTTAATGTTTAATTTTTTCAATTCACCCAAATATTGAATTAAAATCGCGAAAAATGTATATCCCTGGACTACCTATTGCCATTGAGTTTAAATTTAACATGGAAAAACCCTGAATCTCTGGTTAAACTGTGTCTAGACTTAACTCAACTTCAATACAGTCCAGTGATATATATTTTTTAGAAGGTTTTTACTGTTATGTACTGTACTGTACCTTGAGCAAATATCTTTGACTGTTGTACCGTAGGTGAAGGATGAGATGAATCTAATTAAGTCCTGCAGTAGCACAGGAGCATCCAGGATATTAAACTCCTGTGAAAACCAGATATTTGATATTTAAATAAATTTTAAGTCGTTTTTTAAATCATGCTTCAACAATTATTTCACAATTTTTAAAAATGATATCTGATATTTTCTTAGACTAGAGTTATATAATTTGACTTCAGGATTGTTAATTATAATAATAATTATAAAAATAACAATAATTTTTGTATTTTTTTTTCGGAATTTTCTTTTCTTAAGAATCAATTTCCATCAAATATTTTTGTACTGAACATTTTTGCCTTCGAATAGTCTGGTTTCCTGAATTTTATCTCTGAAGTCCTGATTTCTACAAAGTTCCGACCATTCTGGGGTTATTGTATACACATTACTGTACAGAAATATCGGCACCAACTCAACAACCTAGAATTAATTCTCAATTGTATTTCCTTTCTAACAGAAGTTGAGTCTTTGCCGTAAACTCTGATTTTCTAATCCTATAAATTTGGCAATCCAATATCGTAGAACTTGGATAATTCAAACTATGAGTAATTCTAAGTCTGAAATATCAAAGGTTTCCACCATCAGGTTGCAAAAATATATAGAAATAGGAAAATTGAGTTTGTAGCAAAGATTAAAATTAAAAAAAAATTACGCATGAAACCATATTAATGCTTCCGAGTCGACTTCAAAAATGTGGTTTGCATGGTTTTTAGGTTAATTTTTTTACATCCTAAGGTTTTCGGATTTGGAAAAGGCTACAAAACAATTTAGAGAGCTTTAGAAAGTTTAAGTCCGTATATTGAAATTGGAAAGTTCCAGTCTGTATTTTAAAAAAAATTAAGAATACCTAACAATATATATAGTAGATGTAAGTAAAAACGAAAGAAACCTTTGTTAACAATAACAAAATCAATTTTTCAATTATTGTGTAATAATAGAAAATACTATTGAATTAAATTTATAAAATTTGTAAAACATTTAAAAGTATTTGTAGTCTTTTAATCACGTTTAAAATGTCCAAACCGATTTTTTAAAATTTTGGCTAATGGTTTTTAGATTGAGGTACCTGATGATAAACCAGATTCTGGATACAAGCTCTAGATTTAAACACAATTTTTATTCTATCTTTTTGATTTTCAGATTAAGAACTTTTCAATGAATCTCAATTTATAGCGTCTAAATTTGGTTTTGTCGTTCACTGAATTTTGTAAATTGATTTTAAGTCAATAAGACAATTTTTTCTCTTAAAATATAGATTTTAAGTGCTATCTAGTAAGAAAGTGGTAAAAAATCTTTTTATGTAAATCAATTTATCTGCAAAACTTCAGCGGACAAAAAAAAATTGTTTATGAGGGACTGTTCTTGTAATAAGTGCCTTTCATTTCAATAGAGGTTTTCCCGATTCCCAGTGGTATCCTTCAAACCCTTTTCTTTAAATAATGGGAAGAATTTCGTCGTTATTTAGCTTAAAGGGAGTGTTTGCGAAAAATGAAAATAAAATAATATGTTTATTCTTTATGATTTGATAGTTACTTTTAAAAACATTTATTCCTGTTTCGAGGATTTTTGATAATGAAGACGACATTTTCATATTTTTCAGGAATGTTCGAAAATCCAGCGCCAGTGAAATATCATTTAAAATAAACAGAATGAAAATTAGTATGAAATTTTAACTATATACGAATGCATTAAAAAATAATCTATGATTGTTGTTTGAAATATCTGAATGATTTGTTTGGAATTAAATTGATTATTTTACGATCCAAGTTGAATGTTGCAACTTTCTGAATTTGTATGACGCCATGTTCTTCAGCAAAAGTAGTTTTTAACAATTTTCTCCTTATAGACACAACAGATAGAAGTAAGATTAGTAGCGTTCAAAAGCGCTTATTTTTCGCCGTAAGCCTAGACCGCATTTCATTTTTCGCGAACACTCCCTTTAAATGTGTTTAACTTAGACAATTTCCTCTAACGTTACAGAAGCAGAAATGCACAAGTCACTTAGAAGAGAATCCACAATTGAAAATAATCAACTTTTAAAGAGAATCTGGTTGCTACCTCATTCATTCTCGATCAGACCAAGCTTATTAGAGTACCGTTTTGAATCAGACATGCCCCTCTATAAATGAAGCGTCACCATAAATTACGTAAACACTTCTAAAGAAAATATGAAAACTGATTGTGTTTTATTTTCCTGACTGAGTTGACCTCTACATCAGCTAGTGGGGCAAGTCTGGCAACCGAGTTGAAACCATCAATATTTGGCAGAATCTGGAATATTTTTTCATCTATTTATTTTACTTTGCAATATCTTTTATTTATCTATTTTTTAAACCTTTTTTTTATCTATTTCTTCATTTATTTATCTTTTTTAATCTGTTATTTCAACCCTATTTTTATATTTTTTTATTCATCTTTTTATTATATATTCATTTATTTTTTCATTTTTTGTCTTTCATTTATTTCTTGATTTGACACGTAATTTGTTTGGTTTTAAAGTGAAAATAAAGGACTTTTTATTTGTTTTCATTTTTTAAAGAATTTATAATTTTTCTTTTAAAGAGACATCTGAATATTCTTACGTTATGAAGTTTAAAAGTAAAATCAGTGTAAGATCTACGGATCTTTTCTTAAATCTTGATGTTCAGGTTGAATCCAGAAACCAGTGATCTAAAGAAGCACATGAAGATCTACTTATCTAATTCTATACTTGTTCCTCCTGTATACACATATATAAATATTTAATCAAGCTTTATCTGAGATCTTATTTGAGTTTAATTAAATTTTACTCTAAATGTATTATCCTGACTTAAAGTTTTATATTCTCAAGCCTAAAAAGCTTTTTTACAACGTCTAAGTTTATGATTTAAAGAGCCTATATTAAAAAATTATATTTAAAGAGCCTATATTAAAAAATTATATTTAATGGTCTATGTATTTCAGACCATAATGGGCTAGTTAACCGTCCATTTATCTCGTTAGTTCTCCAGGTTGTGCAATACTAGGTTTATAAAACATCATATTTAAATGTAAATGTAACATTGGCCAAAACCTTTTGAATCTAAGCTCATTAAAATTTATGGATGTTATATAAAGTGAATCCAGATCGTACGTGTATTTCAACGCCTGTTTGTATCGTCAACATGAAGGAGAGTCCGTGTGTATATTCAACATGAAGGAGAGTCTGTGTGTATCTTCCTGCTAAGCACCAATGTCCCTACCTCCTCTCGGAGAAGTCCCGTCGGAAGCAACTGTGCTTCTCTAAATCGGGACTGCTGCTTTCGAGCAAACAAAGGTGAAGATTGAATATGAACTGCTCTCAAGATGAGATCTAATGTTAACCTAAACCTTATTTAGATCCGTCTACATCTCTACTTACTCTCGGAGAAGTTCCTTGCCTCTTCTCAGAGAAGTATCCTTGCCTCCTCTCGGAGAAGTCCCGTCGGAAGTAACTGTGCTTCTCTAAACCGGGACTGCTGCTTTCGAGCAGATAAAGGTATAATCAAGTTACGTGCGATATCTGTGAACAATTAAAGACAAAAGTGTGGCTATCTTATCTAACACATGATAAGCCTTTATATAAACTCTTCTTATTATTTCTAGTTATGTAAAAGAGACAGCTGGTCACAAACATCCAACTCTAGAGCTATTAAATTCTCCGGCCTAATCAACTTTGTAAGTGTTATCTTAATTTATATATATTTGTTACAATTTATTCACATTTAGCACATTGTAAGTGCCATTTAAATTCATAATTGTTGTTAAAATTCAATCACACTTAGCACACCTGGAGCAAATTTTAATGTAAACTTGGGTAATTTTATTTATTTAAATTATTCTATTACTAATTTAGTGTTTATGCAACCCGTGACTGATTTATTGTTTTTCAGTTCACGGGTCCTAGCTCTGTATCGCTGTACCAGAAATAAAGAATATAAGAGATTCATGTTTATTAAAGAGGTGTGCAATGGAGAATTGATGTTGCCCCATCATGTTAATAGCTGAACAATTCCTGTGGATCTAGGTATTGTTTCTAGGGAAAATGCTAAAATTCCCAAAACGGGCACAATCCGTACAATTTGAAAAAAAAATCCGTACAATCAATCCGTACAATTTTAGGGTTACAAAAAAAAACATCCGTACAATCCGTACATTTTGGCCACCCTGCACTTTAGTAACTTATAATTAAGTTGACAAACTACTAAGATGTATTAAGATACAGTTAATCTACCCAAAAATCATTCACTTACTTGAAATTTGCTGACTAAATTGTCAGATCGTTGCCAACATTTTAATCAATCTTCTGAAAAATCAGTAACTTAAAGACAATACAAAGACATAAGTGATACATGGAAGAGAGAGAATATTGGAAAAATTTACAAGTAAAGTAATTTTTTGGCTTTTATCATGTGGAGAAAAAAAAAAAACAACAAGAGAATTTCAAGTTTTAGCCAAAATAAAAATTTTTTTCACAGCCTTTTAAACTTGAGATATATTTTAGTATTGCAGCAGGAACAGTCTGTAAGGCCACTGATTTTGATTCAAGTCAGTAATATCCCATTCCAACAATATTTCAGAATTTGTCAGTAAGCTCAATCATTTTCAGGTCTGATAGTTTTATGGCACAAACTGTCTAAAAGGACACACATTTCCTGGCATAACTAATTATGAAGAAAGACTCAGTTTTAAGAATTTTAAGTTTTACATTAAAAAGAAAATATTTTTAAATTAACAAAAAGTTGACAAATGTTAACAGAGTAGGCATATTTTAATATTTCCACATTAAGAGTCAGCAAGCTCAGAAATTTTCAGGACTTACATCCTTGTTTTTTATAACTAAGATAAAATTCAATTTACGAAATTTAATTCAACAAAAAATGTTCAAGGTAAACATTAAAAATGTATAAATCCTGAATGAACAGGAGACATTTATAAACATTTTAGTACAGTTGGGTTATATTGTACAGTAAGGTACATTGTACAGCCAATAATTTTCAAACTTACTAATTTTGTTTAGGTTTTAGTTATTGAGATCAATTCTAATAAAGCAATTGTTACATGAGATTATATTAACCCTCCTCTGTATACTGTCCTGGGCGCAGGAAACACATTTTCTTGTGAAACTTCCCTTCTAGCTTATAGCACTTAGGGCTGCAGTAACGGCGTAGCTTGCACCCAACACATCGCTTGAAGGTAAAGTCCCAGTCTAGCTGAACACAAGGGAAGTATCCACACTTGAGCACATACTTCTCTTCAGTAATGACAGTAAACTCTTTCGGCAAAGGCGTTGAATCTCTAATATCCTTTATTCAAGGGTATATATTTTGTTTTATTATATTCCCCCCCCCTTAATAAATCCTCAGTACATAATAATCCCCAATCAGCACCGAAGAGTGGACTCGCCATTTCGTGGAACATTATTTCATTTTAAGAAATTATGTTATTTTCTCACATTCAATGTAAATTGGAGACTTCTCTTTCAAAAAAACAGACATTGTACTTAAAATCAAATCAGACTTATATATTAAAAAATTAAATTTATTGAATCAGTGATTCCAGATTGGCGGATGGTCACTTCAAATAAGAAGTTGAATCAGCAATGGGTAGTTCAGTCTATCAAATCGTTAAATCCAGTTCCTGAACTTGTTAAACTTTAATAATATACCCTTGCCTTATAAATCAGATCAACCGTCTGTTTACCCAGGATTTCCAAGAGGGCAGAGTAAACAGACCCGTAGTAATGAACAATTGGCCAGTATATGTTGGGATCCTTGGCCAGCTGTAGTGGGTGTAGATCCATGGGTTCCAGTGCCAGGACACGGATGGTGAAAATAACCTCATGTTTACTGTAGTTCCTAAAGTTGTCCTGCCTCTTCAATCCAGACTCTAAACTGTAGATAACGCCATATAGTTCTGTAACCAGGGTTTCATCTCGACTCATCATATAATCTTTCCTGTAGACACTGAATATTCTTTGCTTAGCAAGGTAATTGCACTCAGGACATGCATTTCCTAATGATATTTTGTTATGTTCACAGAGATATTCCGGCTGGTTCATACTTAGCCGTTCAAAATACTCATCATCTGATGTTGCAACCACATCCATTCTTAATCCTAGGTTAATTCCAGGCTTTCCAGGTTCTTGTTTGAAAACAGAATTCTCTACTCTACCCAATAGTACCCAGCCTGGTGTTCTTTGCAATTGCTCAGAGTTTAACAATAACATTCTAAAATGGTTGGAACAGGATTTTAGTTGCAACAAATACTTGGCCAAGAGTGGGAATTCCAGCGCCTCTCTGACAATTCTAGATTTAGAGGAATCCAGGGATTTCAACTTGAATAGAATTAATCCGGATGATCCAACATAACAATCGCCAGATATTCTGAATGTATCAAGGTCCAAGAAGCAAATCCGGTTGAGAAACTTGAGCGATGTTTTAAAACAAACACTGCTGAGCATTAAGTTATCTTTAACTTCTCTTTTGTGGTTAGGGTTCATATATAAAGCCCTACCAATTGCAGCAAATGCTTCAACAGAGCCGTTTTCAGCAGCTATCTTATAGTATTTGATTGCTTTCCTATCACTAAAAGGTCGACTTTTCTCAAACGGGGGACGAAGTGCAAGTTGACATATATCCCGATCACACACAAATCTTAGCTCATATGTTAAACCAATAATCAGAGCTGCTTTCCAATCCCCTCTTTCAGCCATCTTTTTCATCTCTGACCTTGACACATCTGCTTGAGAACTAATATACTCCTTCACCATTTGTAGAGTTTCAAGATTGTAAAATTGTTTGATCCAGGAATAGAAAGAGAGTAAAGAATCTGAGGTGAGATTATTAACAATTCTTGTATGTTTATTACATTTCATGTCTTTGATATAATCCTTGCACTGTAGACTGCAGTACCAATGAGTTCCACATTTGCAAACCAGTGCATGTTTGGTGTAGGATATACTGTAGGAACATGCAATACACCAAGTGTAGGTCTCTTTCCATTCTAATGTGTAGCTGTGTAATGTGTCTTCAGACTTATCCTTACAATGGGACGGGGAAGTATTCTCTTTCTCGAATGTTTTTTCGCTTAAGGACGGCGAAGCTTTCTTTATACCGGACGGGACGGAAACAAACATATTCTTCAAATTAGATTGGATATCTGAGGACTCTTTCTTCTCTTTTCCATCTGAGTCCGCTGTTGTACTCTCAGTTCTAGGTGAGGCAGAAACAAACATATTCCTCAAATTTTTGCTGAGATCGGATTGTTCTTTGGTCTTCCACATATTCGACACTTTATCTCTTCACTAGAAAAATAACATGATTATTGTTCAACAGAAGAAATGTGATGAAAAGTCAATAAAAATTTTTATCCAATCAATGTTAGAAAAAATATTGAATGGGTGTCTTATCTTTGTGAGAAACAATTATTTTCTGAAAGCGAAACAGTGCTTAGGATCTTGTTAAAAAAAAATCAGTAACTCTTTATAAAAAAATATTCATGACTGGACCTGGATCCTGATCCTTTTTTTTTGGCGGATCCGGATCCAGGTCAAGAACATTTCTATAAGTTTCGGAAATGCATCGATCAAAATGAAATGAATCCTAAGCGGCAAGCACGGGGAAAAAGTGTCCATAAATTCACAAGTCTAATTTTAATGATAATCCATTTCTTCAAGATTTGACTTTTTTAACACATTCAATTTTTTTTCTCGCTTTTTAAAGTTAAAGGTATTGAAGCATTCAACGATTATGAAGTTTTTAGTAATTGCTTATTAGCTTTTTTGTTTTGAGGGCAACTAGTTAATTTTTTAGCATGTTTTAGGTAATATTCTGCCCCCTGGAATGTGGACATATTCTTAAAGATCTGGGAAACAAAAATGTTCTGGATTTAGATACCCTACGTCTGGGACCGGGGGATTTTCAAAGGGGAGGTGGGTGGAAGAAGGATTAGAAATGGGCCAAGTGTTAGTTTTGGAACTAATATCCCCTGTGATATAAGAAAAAAAAAATACACTTCTTTACCTTTACATAAATGCAAGCAAATTTAACATGAAACTTTTTCTCCAAAATAGGAAAAAATTATCTTTAAGTGTTATAAAACATTTAAATCATTTAGGGTCCAAGCAGGTTCTTACTTTTAAGGCCAAAAGAGACATAAATATTAGAGATCAAGTTAAAAATGGTAACATTATGCAATGAGCATAGATTTTAGCACTTTAGTAACTTATAATTAAGTTAACAAACTACTAAGATGTATTTAGATACAGTTAATCTACCCAAAAATCATTCACTTACTTGAAATTTGCTGGCTAAATTGTCAGATCGTGGCCAACATTTTTATCAATCTTCTGAAAAATCAGTAACTTAAAAACAATTCTAAGACATAAGTGATACATGGAAGAGAAAGAATATTGGAAAAATTTACAAGTAATTTTTTGGCTTTTATCATGTGGAGAAAAAAAAAACAATCAGAGAATTTCAAGTTTTAGCCAAAATAATTTTTTTTTCACAGCCTATTAACTAGTAAACTTGAGATTTATTATAGTATTGCAGCAGGAACAGTCTGTAAGGCCACTTATTTTGATTCAAAATAGTTATATCCCATTCCAACAATATTTCAGCATTTGTCAATAAGCTCAATCATTTTCAGGTCTGATAGTTTTATGGCACAAACTGTCTAAAAGGACACACATTTCCTGGCATAAATAATTATGAAGAAATACTCAGATTTAAGAATTTTAAGTTTTACATTGAAAAGAAAATGTTTTTAAGTTAACAAAAAGTTGACAAATGTTAACAGAGTAGGCATATTTTAATATTTCCACATTAACAGTTAGCAAGCTCAGAAATTATCAGGACTTACATCCTTGTTTTTTATAACTAAGATAACATTCAATTTACCAATTTTAATTCAACAAAAAATTTTCAAGGTAAACATTAAAAATGTATAAACCCTGAATGAACAGGAGACACTTTATAAACATTTTAGTACAAGGGTTATATTGTACAGTAAGGTACATTGTACAGCCAGTAATTTTCAAACTTACTAATTTTGTTTAGGTTTTAGTTATTGAGATCAATTTTAATAAAGCAATTGTTACATGAGATTGCATTAGCCCTCATCTGTATACTGTCCTGGGCGGATGAAACACATTTTCTTGTGAAACTTTTTGTCTAGCTTGTAGCACTTAGGACTACAGTAACGGCGTATCTTGCACCCAACACATCGCTTGAAGGTAAAGTCCCAGTCTAGCTGAACACAAGGGAAGTATCCACACTTGAGCACATACTTCTCTTCAGTAATGACAGTAAACTCTTTCGGCAAAGGCGTTGAATCTCTTATATCCTTTATTCAAGGGTATATATTTTGTTTAATTATATTCCCCCCTTAATGCATCCTCACTCCTCAGTGCATAATAATCCCCAATCAGCACTGAAGAGTGGACTTGCATTTTGTGGAACATTATTTTATTTTAAGAAATTATGTTATTTTCTCACATTCAATGTAAATTGGAGACTTCTCTTTCAAAAAGCTATCAGACATTGTACATAGTACTTACAAATAAAATCAGACTAAAATATTAAAAATATAAACAGGGATTGAATTTTTTGAATCATTGATTCCAGATTTGCGGATGTTAACACCACAAATTAGAAGTTGATTCAGCAATGGGTAGTTCAGCCTATCAAATCGTTAAATCCAGTTCCTGAACTTGTTAAACTTTATTAATATACCCTTGCCTTATAAATCAGATCAACCGTCTGTTTACCCAGGATTTCCAAGAGGGCAGAATAAACAGACCCGTAGTAATGAACAATTGGCCAGTATATGTTGGGATCCTTGGCCAGCTGTAGTGGGTGTAGATCCATGGGTTCCTGTGCCAGAAAACGGATGGTAAAAATAACCTCATGTTTACCGTAGTTCCTAAAGTTTTCCTGCCTCTTCAATCCAGACTCCAAACTGTAGATAACGCCATATAAATCTGTAACCAGGGTTTCATCTCGACTCATCATATAATCCTTCCTGTAGACACTGAATATTCGTTGCTTAGCAAGGTAATTGCACTCAGGACATGCATTTCCTAATGATATTTTGTCATGTTCACAGAGATATTCCGGCTGGTTCATACTTAGCCGTTCAAAATACTCATCATCTGATGTTGCAACCACATCCATTCTTAATCCTAGCTTAATTCCAGGCTTTCCAGATTCTTGTTTGAAAACAGAATTCTCAACTCTACCAAATAGTGAATAGGCTTGTGTTTCTTGCAATTGCTCAGAGTTTAACAATAACATTCTAAAATGTTTGGAACAGGATTTTAGTTGCAACAAATACTTGGCCAAGAGTGGGAATTCCAGTGCCTCTCTGACAATTCTAAATTTAGAGGGATCCAGGGATTTCAACTTGAATAGAATTAATCCTGATGTTCCGACAAAACAATGTGTATCGCCAGGTCTTTCGAATCTATCAAGCTCCAAGAAGCAAATCCGGTTGAGAAACTTGAGAGATGTTTTAAAACAAACACTGCTGAGCATTAAGTTATCTTTAGCTTCTCTGCTGTGGTTAGGATATAAAACCCTACCAATTGCAGCAAAAGCTTCAACTGAGCCCTTTTCAGCAGCTATCTTGTAGTATTTAATTGCTTTCCTAAAACTGAAAGGTGGACTTTTCTCAAACGGTGGTTGAAGCGCAAGTTGACATTTTTCCCAATTACACACAAATCTTAGCTCATATGTTAAACCAATAATCAGAGCTGCTTTCCAATCCCCTCCTTCAGCCATCTTTTTCATCTCTGACCTTGACACATCTGCTTGAGAACTAATATACTCCTTCACCATTTGTAGAGTTTCAAGATTGTAAAGTTGTTTGATCAAGGTATAGAAAGAGAGTAAAGAATCTGAGGTGAGAATATTATCAATGCTTGTATGTTCATCACATTCCCTGTCTCTTTCTCTGATATAATCCTTGCACTGTTGACTGCAGTACCAATGAGTTCCACATTTGCAAATCAGTGCATGTTTGGTGTAGGATATACTGTAGGAACATGCAATACACAAAGTGTAGGTCTCTTTCCTTTCTAATGTGTAGCTGTGTAATGTGTCTTTAGACTTTTCCTTACAATGGGACGGAGATGTATTCTCTTTCTCGAATGTTTTTTCGCTTAAGGACGGCGAAGCTTTCTTTATACCGGACGGGACGGAAACAAACATCTCCCTCAAATTAGATTGGATATCTGAGGACTCGTTCTTCTCTTTTCCATCTGAGTCCGATGTTATACTCTCAGTTCTAGGTGGGGCGGAAACAAACATCTTCCTCAAATTTTTGCTGAGATCTGATTGTTCTTTGGTCTTCGACATATTCGACACTTTATCTCTTCACTAGAAAAATAACATGATTATTGTTCAACAGAAAAAATGTGATGAAAAGTCAATAAAAAACTTTTTAACTTTTATCCAATCAATGTTAAAAAATATTGAATGGGTGTCTTATGTTTGTGAGAAACAATTATTTTCTGAAAGAGAACCAGTGCTTAGGATCTTTTGTTAAAAAAAAATCAGTAACTCGTTAAAAAAAAATATTCACGACTGGAGCTGGATCCCAATCCAATTTTATTTGGCGGATCCGGGTCAAGAACATTTCTACAAGTTTCGGATATGCATCGATCAAAATAAAATGGATCCTAAGTTTAAGTATTGAAGCATTCAACGATTATGAAGTTTTTAGTAATTGCTTATTAGCTTTATTGTTTTGAGGGAAACTAGTTAATTTTTAGCATGTTTTAGTTAATATTCAGCCCCGTGGACTGTGGACATATTCTTAAAGATCCGGGAAACTAAAATGTTGCAGATTTAGATACCCTACGTCTGGGACCTGGGGGGGATTTTCAAATGGGAGGGGGTCTGATTAGACCTTGGTAAAATGCAGAAGCATTTAAGTTTACTTTTCATCCATATTTGTATTTAAAAAAAAAAAATTTAAGTTTACAATACTGAAACCAAGATTTTTCCTCTTAACGCCTATTGCATGTTAAACTCTCACCTTAATGGGACTTGATTAACCAAGTAACTTAATTAAGTTGACAGCACTTGTTATAAACGTTTGTATACAATAAATACACTCATAAAACAAAACCTACTTCAGATATATCAGAAATCAGTTGGATTTTTAAATAAAAAATACAAAAATTAAGCCAGTTGGAGTAGCTAAAAAAATGTACACGAGTAAGAGTCAGTTTCAGACCATATATCCTTTAACAGAGAAAATTGTGCAAGAAAAAATAACAACCTTTGACAAAGACATTTTCTCATTATCTTTGTTAGAAAATTAAATTGATAGAGTTTCTGAAATAAGAAGAAAAAAAAATACTTCTTTACTTTCACATAAATGCAAGCAAATTTAACATGAAACTTTTTCTCCAAAATAGGAAAAAATTATCAAAACATTTAAATCATTTAGGGTCCAATCAGGTTATTTCTTTTAAGGCCAAAAGAGACATGAATATTGGAGATCAAGTAAAGAATGGTAACATTATGCAATGAGCATAGATTATGGCACTAAAGTAACTTTAAAAACTACTAAGATGTATTTAGATATAGTTAATCTACCCAAAAATACTTCACTTACTTGAAATTTGCTGGCTAAATTTTCAGATCGTTGCCAACATTTTAATCAATCTTCTGAAAAATCAGTAACTTAAAGACAATACAAAGACATAAGTGATGCATTGAAGAAAAGAATATTGGAAAAATTTACAAGTAATTTTTTGGCTTTTATCATGAAGAGAAAAAAAAACAATCAGAGAATTTCAAGTTTTAGCCAAAATAAAATTTTTTTTCACAGCCTATTAAACTAGTAAACTTGAGATTTATTATAGTATTGCAGCAGGAACAGTCTGTAAGGCCACTTATTTTAATTCAAGTTAGTAATATCCCATTCCAACAATATTTCAGCATTTGTCAGTAAGCTCAATCATTTTCAGGTCTGATAGTTTTATGGCACAAACTGTCTGAAAGGACACACATTTCCTGGCATAATTGGATATCTGAGGACTCGTTCTTCTCTTTTCCATCTAAGTCCGATGTTATACTCTCAGTTCTAGGTGGGGCGGAAACAAACATCTTCCTCAAATTTTTGCTGAGATCTGATTGTTCTTTGGTCTTTGACATATTCGACACTTTATCTCTTCACTAGAAAAATAACATGATTATTGTTCAACAGAAAAAATGTGATGAAAAATCAATAAAAAACTTATTTACTTTTCAATGGACTGTGGACATATTCTTTAAGATCCAGGAAACCAAAATGCTGCAGATTTAGATACCCGACGTCTAGGACCTGGGGGGGATTTTCAAAGGGGAGTGGGTCTGATTAGACCTTGGTAAAAATGCAAAAGCATTTGAGTTTGCCTTTCATCCATATTGTAATTTTAAAAAAACTATTGAAGTTTACAATACTGAAACCAAGATTTTTCCTCTTGAATATTTTAACTCTCAACTTAATGGGACTTAATTTACCAAGTAACTTAATTAATCAAGTAACTTAATTAACCAAGTAACTTAATTAACCAAGTAACTTAATTAAGTTGACAGCGCTTGATCTAAACGTTTGTATACAATATATACACTCATAAAAACAAAACCTACTTCAGATATATCACGAAGTTCTCAGACCATTCTCCAACATTTTACTTAACAGTCTGAAAAATCGGCAACTTAAAGACAATACAGCAACGTACATAATATATTGATGAGAGAAAATAACGTTGGTACAATTACAGGTATATCAGTTTGGGTTTATTTTCCTTATCATATCAGTGTACAAATTATTGGGTTCAGATTATTCGACATTTTATTCGAATTAATCTGTCCAGAGAAAATAACTACAAAAAGAAAATCAGTCGAAAGATTTAACAAATAATACTTTGAAATTTTGTAATTCTTGAGAAGTTGTAGAAGGTGAGTTGAGGCCAATTGTACAGCTGATTTTGGTGAATGTACACTGTGCAGTACACAAGGGATACCCGCGTACATGCTTAAATGATCTGTACAACATCAGGTCGGATATCTAAAATAAGTTATTATTATTATTATTAATACGACTATTTCAAAAATGAAAACTTGTGCATTTTTATAATATTCCTTGAAGCGATATGTTTGAGAAAAAAGAAAAAAAAATTCCAGGGGTGAATATTTTTAAAAATCTTTGGTAAATAAAATTTAAAAAATTTATTTTCTCCTAAAAATTACATTTTCCCCGAATTCAGCGAATAAAATTTTTAAAGACTGAGGAGGGAGATTTTTAATAAGAAAAATATACACCCCTGATTTTTTTATTTCGAACAAACCTGATTTTTATAATATTTAGACCGGACCCTCCAGGAAAAGTTCAACATATCTAAAAAAATATTATTTTTAATAGCCTTGATAAGTTTTCCTGGGACGAAGTTTAATGAACTTAATTTCTTCCGTTAAATTGGTTTTCCGTGTGTAAAACTGTCTTTCCGTTCGTAAAAATTTCGTTCCATTCGTAGAACTGTTTTTCCATTCGTAAAAATATCTTTCCATTCGTAAATCTGTCCTTCCATTCGTAAAACTGTCCTTCCATTCGTACTGTCCTTCCATTCGTACTGTCCTTCCATTCGTAAAACTGTCCTTCCATTCGTAAAACTGTCTTTCCATTCGATAAACTGTTTTGCTAAAATGTCTTTCCGTTCGTGTAACTGTGTTTCAGTTCGTTTAATTGTCTTTCTGTCCGCTAAACCGTCTTTCTGTCCACTAAACCGTATTTCGGAATGTAACTGTCTTTCCATTCGCTAAACTGTCTTTCCGTTCGTAAAAGTATCTTTCTATCCGTCCTTTCGTATTTATGTCTGTTAACCCGTCTTTCAATCTGTCCTTCAACTGCTATTGACTATTTATCTAATATCTATCGACCTGTTTATTGATTCTATGTTCTATCCGATAACCCGTATTTCTGCTATTTATGTATCATCCCTTACAATAAAATCGACATTACTATCAGTCAAGTCTTTCTATCATTATATCTATCTATCTATAGGCCTATATATAGATTCTGATGTATCTCTCTGTTGTTTTCATCTGATGTATCAATCTGATGTATCTCTCTGTCAAGTACATCAATATAAGCTCACCTAGAGCCCATGTTGGATTTGTGTTTTGACATTGCAGCCTTGGCCTCAGCTAGAGATGAGAACATAACCTCAGCAGTACCACTAGGTCTAAAGTTATAATACAATTATATAGAGAACTAAGTATATATATTGGGCGGGGTGTATATTTTCTCGAAAAATCATTCCCCCCTCTTTAAAAATTATTTATTCCCCAAGATAATGTTTTTTTTTCAGGTTTTATTAGATTAGCTGAATTGGGAAAAATTAATGATATTTTGGGGGTAAAAAGAAAAATTACCTAAATTTTTCATTAAAAAAATACACCCCTGAAAGTGGGGCAATTATCAGCTACAGCCGCGACAATTATCAATTACAGCCGGGACGATTATCAGCTACAGCCGGGACAATTATCAGCTACAGCTGGGATAACTATCAGCTACAGCGGGGATAATTAAGTGGAAAAGTCATCAGTTACTGCCGGAACATAAAAATGGGAAAGTCACTATTTACAGCCGGGACAATAAAATAAGAAAATCATCAGTTACAGCCAGGACAATAAAGTAGGAAAATTATTAGTTACAGCCGATTCAATAAAATAAGAAAATTATTAGTTACAGCCGGGACAATAAAATAAGAAAATTATTAGTTACAGCCGGGACAATAAAGTAGGAACGCCCGAATTTTACTTAAGAATGTTAAGATGAAAGTATCGTATAAAAAAGGTTACGATCTAGGCGAGAGGAAGAACTAGTCAGGAGACTAAAAGAAAATAGAACCAGTTTACCTGCCGTCAGGTCCATACTGTATCTCGGCATCAATCACCTTCGCTTTGTCGGAAAAGAACTGAAAAAATAATCGGTTTAAAAAAACGGATTTTTTTTGTTCCAAAACAAATTGTTTGATATTTCTCGGGAGTCACAGTTAGTTCTTGCTTTATAATGAAACATTAAGAAACCTTAAGTCACGGGCACGCGCAAAAAATATGTTTAACATGTAAATTCTAAGTTGCATTGACCTGAAGTGTCAGATATGAAAAAAAAAATTCCGATTCTTTTTATTTCTGAACAAGCTTACCGTGCTAATATCGTCCAGTGTGGTGGAGAACGGAATTCCGCGCATTTTCACCAAATAGTTCTCACTGAACCCCTGGTAACCGGGCACTAGAAATATTATAAATTTATTTAAAATTAAGTAAATTAATTATCAAAGAGACCGCCCGTCAACGATTTCTGTTGGATTTCTTATTATTTGAAATTTTCCTCTAAATAAAGTTAAAATTCAAATAAAAAGTAAATTATGCGTGGTTTATATTTTAAACCAAACCAAACCAAAATATTTGTCTCAATCATACATATAGAAAATAACACATCTTAAAAAATAGTTATGAAACTCATCCATTACTTTCTAAAACGATCCAGCCCATATTTGTTGTGGGACCTCCCTTGATCCCATGGAAGGCTTATAGATGGTCGGAATTCAAAAAATTTAGATTAGTTAAAATCCAACGAAAATAAAATCAAAAAATCGTGTTTTATTTTCGTTATTGTTTCATAATGTTAAATGAATGCGCAGATAGAGCAACATATACAAGTTATTAAGAATGTTCTAACCTCCCCCCATACTCGGAGCGAATGAGTCCTGGCTGTAAGCATCAAACCCTCCCCGTCCGCCTGCTCCTCCGATAGGTCCTGCTCCTACCCCGGCTCCATATCCACCTAAACAACATTATTTTACTACTAGCTAGAGCATTTTATGCCAGGGAGAGGGATAAAAAATATCGAACCGCTTAGTGCGCGCTTAAAACTCATTTACCCCCCCCCCCCCCACCCTGGGAAATATCGTAAGCTAGCCGCCCCAGTGTGTTTTTTTTTCGAAATAACCGATTTTTAGCGTGTGTTACCCCCGGTGAACTCGAGAGGGTTCTCTCAAACAAGTTCAACCAAATTGGTCTAGTCGTTTGACCAGCAGTAGCTATCACATAAACATATATATATGAGCGAAGAGCTTTATTATATAGATTTAAGTGATGTAAAAACCTGGAAATAACCTTTTAAAAGCCAAACCATAAATAATGAAAAAATAAATGAACTGCTAATTTTTGTTCCTTTTAACAGTGCGCAGTTGCTTTCCACTAAATCTCTTTTTCCAGATTTCAGAGACAAGGAACATCATAAAAATGTGAAATATTCCTTGAATAATTAGAAAAATACTGATTTTTACATCAGGGAATGGGGTATAATTATTTAACATAATATTCTATTTAAATTCTCACATTCTGATCTTCATTACAGCAATGCGATATTTAAATGTAAAGAATTGCTTCCCAAAATTGTTAAAATAATTAGTGCTGAGAAAAGGGCCAACAGGGGTGGATAATTTCCTGAAAAATCCACCTCTTTTGAGAATCATTTGCTACCCCAATAAGTTGGGGGGGGGGAGGGTAATTTATAAAATATAAACCACCTGAGAATTAATTATTATGATTTATTTAAAATATTACCAAGTGAAGGGAGTGAACCACCACCAGATGCGGCTCCAACTACATCAAAAGCAATTATCATTGATTAAAGAATAAATAAAAAGAATCCAGAATTAAACTAGAAAGGAATTTCGTTATAATTTCAGCAACCATCCTCCGTTTTATGAGGGGCATGTCTGATTCACAGCGGTCCATTTAAACCTTTTATGCGATCAATTATGTGGAAGATATTGTCGTGTAAATTCTATCAATTTCCTACTTAGTTTTAGAAGCAGAAATCCGCTCATCACCATATAAGAGAAAACACAACATAGAAATAATTAAAATGATAAGTAACTAAAATATTCATAAATCATGCCAAAGCTTTTCATCGTACCATTGTAAATCGGACATGCGCATTTTTTTAATTGAGTCACTTGCAAACAAAACGTCCACAGTCACTTTACAGGTATTAATTAAACAAAGAAAAATAGTACCTCCTGCGCCATAACCAGAGGCAGATCCATTACTACCGTATCCGCCTCCAGCCCCTCCTCCCATTCCGCTACCGCCACCTAGCCCACCTCCGCCACTCATTCCGTATCCATTTCCAGCCGATTCGTAACCATAACCGCCGCCCATTCCAGCTCCGTAACCGCTTTCGCCGTACCCTGCTCCATATCCGCCAGCTCCGTAACCTCCTCCACCTCCTCCATAGCCTCCCCCTGCACCGCCCCCGAATCCTCCGCTGAATGAACCGCCGAAGCTTCTACTGGCTCCACCTCCGAAACCACGACCTCCGCCCAATCCTCTCATACCGGACATTCCGCCCTGATCAAATACATCATTTCAAATTATATTGAAATCTAAATTATTTTATTTATAAAAAAATCCCTCCATCTTCAATGCATGCTTACAGGGAGTAAAAATACTATTTAAAAAGATAATTATGATAAAATAAATAATCTAAATTACCCGTCCGAACCCCATTCCCATGGGTGGGATCCCTCCTCCCATCCCGTCACCATACCCATCCATACCGCCCCCCATCCCGCCGCGGGCAAATGGCATGGGACGGTCATAAGGTCCTGGTCTAGGACCTCCGAAGCCCCTAGCTGCCCCCCTCCTGGGAGCACCTCCCCCCCGGCCAAAGGAAAAGTCTGAGTCTTCCCCCTTCCGCCCTCGAGCCTCCATGTTGGCTTCTTGTTGAGTAGATTTAAAGACCTCAATATACCTGGGGCAAATATAAGTATTAATCACAATAAATAGCAAATCCTTGAAATTAAGAAATTAAATTTACAGTTGAAAAAAATCTGGAAGGATACAAATACACTTTGGATTCGTAACTGTTATTTATCTGTATTCATTCAAAATAATTGAGCAGCATACTAAAGCACTCAAACGTTTACAAAAACCCAACTGTATATTCTAAAAAATTCTAAAAACACTCCCTGTAGGGCCCGCCCCACCTTCTGTCCCGCCCTGTACCCAATTAATTCACCATATTTATCGATATGAGCTATGCATATTTATAAAGGGACTGTGGGAGAAATTTTCAGTGACCCTCCAATTATAAAGTGGTAGATCTAATTCACAAGGGTTTCCTCAGAAGCTGTGTATAATTAAACCCGAAAAAGATATCCATGTTTTCAATCATTATTTTCAATTGTTCATGTATTTGTGACAAAGACATGTCTGCGACTGCATCAAATTAGTGTCAGAATAAATCACTGTTTAAGCTAAGAAAATGAGGTATGTTTTCTAATACTATGTAACTAGAGGGTCACTTGAAATTATACGACAGTCCCTTTAATGTTGAGTTTTAAAGAGATCACAGGACGAATGTTCCCAAACTGGTTTTACTTTGGTATCAATTAGGTGAGTGACAGGTTTTCTCAAATATTCTTAATAACAACATTTAGAGATTCTAATTGAGATCCGTTCCGTGTATCTCTTTTAAATTCATTGAACTCCATCTTTATATCATGAAGTTATAAGCAAAACATTTTTAAGCTGTCCTGGAATTTTTTAAATCTAAATTTTTCGCATTATTTTAAGTGAATTTTTTTTCAAATTTTTTTTTTTAAATTCTACCTGTGTCCCATATTCTTGTTATTTTTCTCTAAAGCTTTCTCGACATCTTCTTCGTTATAAAAGCAAACATAGGCCTAAAACCAGCGTATCAAGATTAACGTATAATAATGGACCTTCAATTTGATTAAAAGTAAATAAAAGTTTTATGTAATTTTTTGGAAGATTTTCATCATTTTTGACATTCAAATCACATCCTCCCCCTTTACTTAAAAATTTGACAAAAAAAATAAACTACGTGAATACTTTTTTTAAAAAAAGATGACTTTTTCAAAGTAAATATATGAATATCGAAGATATGTGTTATTTTGTAATCAGTGGCTCAAATATAAGACGCGGTTCAATCATAGTTGGTTCCACTTGAATTTTTTATTTAGAGTTTCGAGATTTGGGCCGGCGCTCAATTGGAACCGGTTTCCGTAGAATCAGAGACGCAGTTTAAATTCTTTAAAATTACAACTATCCAAGCACCCAAAATGTTCTTGGACCGAATTTAAATAATTTAAGCTACGTCGTTGAACCAACCGTAGACACAAGGCAGTTCAAATTGATTAAATGAACATTTTCTGAAGATTACCCAACCATTTAATCCTTTTTTCACTTATTCATCGTTTTAAGTTTTATTAATTAGCCAGTAAACAGTGGAGATTTGTGTTTTAAATGCAAAAAGAACGTATGTACCTTCGAAAAACCTTCTAACTTCCTCTCTACCAGCCTCAAACGGAAGACCACGCAGCCTCACAACGTTTTCACTAGTAGCCTCCTAAACAAACAAAATACTTATTCAAGAAAAAAGTTTCCATGCTGTAGGAAACAGATGTGAATTCTTTCTAAACTCAAATTGATTAATAATGAGCTTTCATGAAAAGTGTAACAAATCTATAACAGGAGTCACATATCTTTAATCGATTAGAGTTCAAATGCAAATTGTAGATTGCCGGGCCTACTTAAAGATTTTTCGCTCTTTAAATATCTGTTAAAGTTCAAAAAGTTCAAAAAATTGATTTGAGGGATCAGGAGACACAAAGTTCAAATTAAGCAAATAGAAACTATAAGAAACGCCTTGAATTGGATGGAGGAACTGCACAATTTAGTGATGCAAAATAACCATTTAGTTGATAATGGGCCCAGAATTATAACATATCACTCCGTGAGAGCATTATCGTAACACCAAATATTGTAATACTAAAAAGAAAGAAAGAAAAAAGACGACAATCAGAATATTTAGAAAAATTAACTTACAAATTCTCCCTCCTGTTCCGGAATCTCCCTCCCTTCCTTGTTCACGTTCTTCTGAATCATCCATTCCATCTCACTCCAACGAGCCTCAAACACTAAAATATATCAGGATTATGCAATGTTTAGGATCCGAAGGTGCTGCAACATGTCGGGTCCAAGGAGTATGGAATATACTGGACGAGAGGTCGACCCGGTTCGCCTCACCAGATGATTATACATGCTAAACAGAACGGTACTCCGTGTGGAAAAGATACTAGTAAAGGTCGTCTTTTTTAAATGTGGGTTTTCAGTATACAACACAAACTCTGGCAAAAAAAAAATCAGGGTTAAACATACAATGCTTAGGATCTGGATCTGGTTGAACTGCAACACGTCGGGTTCATGTTTATGCAGATCAAATCCTGATCCAAATGCTGACTAAAACCACTTAATATCTATTCATAGTAAATGTCTCAAACATTTCTAAATATAAGAACGATCTATTTTAAGGGGATGCACTATTCAGTTTTCAGGGAGGAATATATATTTCCAACAAAATATATACTCCTTGTTCCATGGGAAACTTTAATAAACGGTTCCCTTAAAACCTTTATCTGATCAGTATTGTGGAAGATGTTGTCGTTTTTTAAGGTTTCAAAGCCTTTTCAGTTTTCAACATTGATTATTTCCTGAATGTTTTCTTGAAGTAGAAATGCGCAAGTCACTTGTTATTTTTCAAAAATTGTTGACAATGATATCCAATTCATGCTTAATACAAAGATTTATTAAGGGTACAACTGTAAATCGGGCATTGTCCTGTTTGCATGGATATCCCTGTACATTACGCTTACAGTCACTTTAAACTTAACTCTTAAATCTTTATATCAGTAATGTTGATGTTTAGAATATATTTCAATTTAGCGAATGTCATTTTATTCTTTGGCTGTAAGTCTAGAAATGGATTTTGACAGTTTATTCCTTTTTGATCAATAATGTAGTTTCTCATAATTTTTACGTCGTTTCCGATGCAAGTAATCTGCAGAATATTAGAAATTTAAAATCAGTAATGAAAATAATCCGTTTTCAGAGCCGGCGATTTTAAAAATTCAAAAAAAATACGACTCGGGTCTAAACTGTTGTTTTGAGCCTTATTTACGGCTCGGGCTTTCGGATTTAAGTTGCATCTAATTTTCAACAGAGTTTAGTTCATAAAACCGGTTTAACTTTGTATTAAGCGGATATTCATAGTTGGAATTGGCGCATTCCGGGTTTTGATGAGAAGAAGACCCAACATTGAGCCTTATTCTTCACTTAAACCAACCAAGGTCGGTTTTATTTTCATTGGGCTTAACTCCTTATGTCGAGCCTAAGCTCTCGTCAGAGTTGGGTCGAAGATTGGGTCTTAAAGTCGGGTTTAAGGAATTACGGCTCGAGCCGAAGTTTTTAAATCGCGGGCTCTGAACAAACAATCTGATAGGCAGGTTATATCAATGAAGTGTTATTTGGAGGAATAATGTTTACAATTCCTTTATCCGTTAAATCATATTTTAAAGAAGCGTGTCACTATTGTTCATAAATAAATAGATGCCAGCACAAGCACCTCCTTGATAACGACTAAGATGTAATAATGACATAAAACTACCTTCGATATAACGTTTTCCCATGTTCTTGTTGTTCAGTTTCATCGCTTCTTTTACATCCTGAAAAAAAAAAAAAAATTATTGTTTCGAGCCCAAGGAGACTCGATACCAACCATAACCGGCTAAAAATCCAAATTAAAAGCCAAGACAGCAACATCGTTACTTGTAAAGGATGAAACTAAAGACGACCTAAAACTAAAGAAATATGACGATCTCAAGGTTAAATTAAGTCTTCTGTCATGCATATATTTTTTGTCTAATAAAGAATGAAGTTTACAGTAATGAAATGTGTATTTTAAATACCTTGAGTGAAACCATTTCAATGTAGGCGTCCCCAGACGGTCTTCCTTCACGGTTCTTGGTGAAGTGAATTCCAGCTTTATCATCTAATTATTAAAAATGGTTCGTATTGATTTCTTTAAATGTTTATTATTTAAGTTTGTTATATTTGTTTCCGCGGAACGCAAATTTACGTTAAGTTTTAATTCGCTGAAAATAACTGAATATGTTGGTTAAACGATAAAAGGAAAAGTATTACATGTCACATTTATCAATTATAAACCCCAAATCGTTAAAAGAACTAACCCCCCTCCCCAAGGGGAATGATAATTCTGTAAATAATGTACATTTGGTCAATTAACATTTCGTCAACCTTACATTTCGTCAACCTTACATTTGGTCAATTGCTACATTTGGTCAACTGTTACCAAACGTCAACTGGTACATTTCATCCCAATACATTTGGTCAACTGATACAAACACATATAAAATTGGTCAATTTTGATTCACAGAGTGTCTACATGTTACATGTATTTAGATATCACCTAAGGTACAATTGTACAAATAAAACTAACAGATAACAGCCGTCACAGTAGTTTAGTCTCTTCTAAGACCAAACATGAAATCTTTGGATGCAGATAGCTCGAGTATAGTGTTGTTCCATGACTACACTCCCTTGTTTGTGGGGTTAATTCGTGTTCTCAATATTATGAGGAGAATGAGGATCTATCAAAATATACATTTTCCTGTTGGACACGATGAAATTAGCCCGAGTATCTTTCTATTATTAAAGGTTAGATTAAGTTAAGACAATTTCTGGGCCAAGCGCTGCGGCTAGGATTGGCTATGGGACCGAGCGCCGCAGTTATGACAGACTAGGGGCCAGGCCGGGCGCTGCGGCCATGTACAAAATTGATAGGAGGGGGAGGGGGGGTGCAAAAATCGTTTTCAGGAAATTACCCTGCGATGTTTGAGTGCCAATATCCACGGATTTGTTATGCATGATAATCAAGCTGGGATTGAGAATCACGATTTCAAATATGAAAGTTGACCAAATTTTAACCCATTGTCACAAGTGACGATATGTATTAATTGACGAAATTTGTAAATTGCCCAAGCGTATGTAATTGACGAAATGTAAGGTTGTCCAAGTGTTAATTGACGTAATGTATCCACTCCCTGAATATTTTATAAATTAACCTTTAATTGAACAATTACAAAAGAACTCCATTACTTCATCTTCTGAAACGGACCACGGGAGGCCCCGGACACGGATAACAAAATGCTCAGAGCTATCAGACATTTTATCTGAAATATGTTTAATAATCAGAGCGGATCAAGTTAACAATATCATTTTAACTTATTATTATTAAGTAGAAATGTCCATTATTACTTGAATTGCCCACAATTAAGCTGCCGGCGTGAGTGAGCTAGGGCCAGTGAACATAATTGTTTGAATGCGCATGGCGCGGATGGAATGCCGGGAATAGTTTTCAAAACATGATTCAGAAAGATAAGACGACAGAAAAAGCGCTTAATAAGAAGGTTTTATTTCTTACGATGGTGTATTTTTCGACCTACGCAATTTGCAAATCCACTATACTCCACCTCTGACCTACGCCAGATCCACTATACTACTAATTATCCCACATACTAGCACGTGGTTTACCAGGTGCTATATGGATTTGTGTCCGGCCCTCTAGCCTGTTCTAATCGCAGCGCTCGGCTAAGAAATTGTTTTAATTTTAAAGTATACCTAACCTTCAAATAATACAGAGCGTCCCATATCATATTAGATTATCTCCAATCTTTAACATCAAAATAAACCCTTAATACTAGAAAAACTTATAATTTTCCGCAAGAAAATTCTTATATAAGCCTTGTTATTTTTCAAAATGATTCATTCTAATGAAATTTTCTAACTAGCCCCGAAAATCGTAATTTAGACCCGTTCTCGGTCTAATATGATGTGGGACACCCTGTACGAAAATAAACAGCTGGCGTAGGTCCGACATTGCAGTAGGTCGGAAAGTCAGAAGTTCAGGAGGGGGACGTTGCATATATGACGATGTAACATTACACATTAGAGGCCTTAGAAGTCAAACCTTATAGAAATCCAACGTATGGACCCGCTACTTATAGCAACATGGCGTATTTTCCGGGAGAAAATTTTTTATATTTTTGAAAAATTAAATTATCAGTGTAAAGTAAATATAATTTTCATAAAATCCTTTTTTTAAATGGTAAAACGAAATTTTATGAAATCATATTAGCATTACTGGAGAAATTTTTTTATGCTTTTAAGAATTTTTTCCAAACCTAAAATGTACGATTAAACTATTTTGCTCCTTTAATGTCTAGGTTATGTTAAAAAAATAGAAATTATGATAATGATAATGATAAGCTATAATATTTTACAAACACGTTTAATTTTTCAAAAATATAAAAAAAAATTCTCCCGGAAAATACGCCATGTTGCTATACGTAGCGGGTCCATATGTTGGATTTCTATAAGGTTTGACGCCGTAACATTACCCATACAGGGTTACCCATGATGGTTTGGTAAACTCGTTAGTCTAAAAAAATCTTTCTTTCAGTAAAAAAAACTATCGTTTTTTTTTAAGTTTATTAGAAAAATTGTTTGTTCAGTAGCAAATTTGATTTTTTTTCAAAATATTTAATTCGTTCAAACATTAAAGGTTGGAACAACCATTTTGAATTGTTTTTCTTATTTGTTGAAAAAAAAAACTTTTTTATTTTGTACTGTCCAGGTCATTCGTCCATAGTTCGATGTTTTCTGATCGACAATTTATCGTTCTCAAAAAATTTTGTTCTTTCTCAAAATTTCGTTCGTTGACAAAAACGATGTCCATCTCTAGGTTTATCTTCTAAGTATCGAATTCATTAAATCTTATTCATGAAACCAAAATAGAACAATTCTGAATAAAACATACTTTCGAAATTTACACAAAGAGCATCAAAATAAGAAATATATCTACAAGTCTCCAGATTTCACCATTTAAAAATATCAAAAGATTGAAATACATCTCTATATTTATCTATATAATAAAACGAGACATGTATGTATATGTATTTTCCCTGTAGCCGGCCAGACGGCTGGACCGAATGGACTGAAATTGTCTATGGACACTCATTTGGGTACCCGTGACAAAGGCTAAAAAAAACGATTTTTTTCTTCAAATTATAAAAAAGATTTTTAAATATCTACAAAAAATAAGTTAATTGTCAGCAGCAACAAATATATAGATATCTAGCTGTCACTGTCAGCCAATAGAAATATCTAGAACTCTAGTTTTCAGCCAATAGAAATATTTCCAGAAATCTAGTTTTCAGCCGCTAGAAATATCTAGAAATCTAGCTGTCAGCACTCAGCGCCTGGAAATATCCAGAAATCTGTATTTACTGCAGCTAGAAATATATAGAATATTGTTGTCAGCAGCTACAAGCATCTAGAAATCTAGTTTTATCACTTGTAAGCAACTAGAAATATCTAGAAGTCTACTTGCCAGCAGCTATAAATATCTAGAAATCTAGTTGTCAGCAGCTAGAAAAATCTTGCAATCTAGTTGTCAGTGGCTGGACATATCTAGAAATCTAGTTGTCAGCCGCTAGAAATATCTTGAAATCTATTTGTAAGCACCTAGAATTATCAAGAAATATATTTGTCAGCCGCTCGAAATATCTAAAAATCTAGTTGTCAGTAGCTAGAAAAATCTATAAATCTAGCTGTTAGTTGCTGGACACATCTAGAAATCTAGCTGTCAGTAGTTAGAAATAGCAAGAAATCTTGTTGTCAGCAGCTAGAAATATCTAGAAATCTAGTTGTCAAAAGCTAGAAATATCTAGAAATCAAGCTGTTACCCCCTGGAAATATCTAGAAATCTACTTGTCAGCTGCTAGAAATACCTAAAATGTAGTTGTCAGCAGCTAGAAATATCTTAAAAATCTAGTTAGCTATCTAATTGTCAGCACCTAAAAGTATCTAGAAATGAAGTTGTCAACACCTAAAATATCTCAAAATCTAGTTGTCAGCAGCTAAAAATATCTAGAAATCAAATTGTCAGCAGCTGGAAATATCCAAGAATCTAGTTTTCAGCAGCTGTCAGTTGCTAGAAATATCTAGAAATCTAGTTGTCAACAACTAGAAATATCTAGAAATCTAGTAATAAGAAGCTAGAATTATCTAGAAATCAATTTGTCATCACCCGGAAATATATAGAAATCGTGTTGTCAGAAGCCAGGAATATCTTGAAATCTAGAAGTCTAATTGTCAGCCGAAATGTCGAAATCTAGTTATTCAATTGTCGGCACCTTGAAAAATCCAGTTGTCAAAACCTATGAATAGCTAGAAATCCACTTGTCAGCACCTAGAAATATCTATAACTAGGGTTGTCAGCACCTAGAACTATTCAGAAATCTATCTGTCAGCAGCTAGAAATATCCAGACATCCAGTGCTGAACACTTAGAAATATCTAGAAATCTATTTGTCAGCAGCTAGCAATATCTAGAAATCTAGTTGTCAGCACCTAGAAATATCCAGAAATCTAGTTGTAAAAAGCTAGAAATAGCTAGAAATCCAGTTGTCAGCAGCTAAAAATATCTAGAAATCTAGTTGTAAGCACCTAGAAATATCTAGAAATCCAATTGTCAGCAACTAGAATTGACTATGAATCTAGTTGTCAACATCTAGAAATATTAAAAAATTTAGCTGTCAGCTGGAAATATAGTTGTCCGCATTTAGAAATGTCTAAAAATCCAGTTTTTAGCAGCTAGAAATATCTAGAAATCTACTTGTCAGCGGCTAAAAATATATAGAAATCTAGTTGTCAGCAGCTAGAAATATCTAGAAATTCAGTTGTCAGCAACTAGAAATATCTAGAAATCTAGAAGTTAGTTGTCTGCACAAATACCTGTATGTTTGAGTGTTTATGTTGAATATAAGATCAGGGTTTACGTAAACTAATGATCAACGCGTAAACTGGGTCTGCATCACTCAAAACATAAATTTCAAATATAAACCAAAAACGTAAATATTTCCTTCTTGAATCTAAAACGATTGTTTATGTGACGTATACACCCCTGAAGATTGGGCCCGTAGGCCTGGTATATCTCACGTTGTATAGCAGGCACCTAGGCAGGCGGGCAAACTACTTTTCATTTTTAAATCCTAACTTCAAATCTTTACATTTCGTTTCGTGGATTCCAATTTTACGATAATCACGCAACCTTGCCTGGAAAAGATGAATTAGTTAAGAAAGGAATTCTAACTTATTTGAAAACCCGATAATTTCCGATTTACAATTGATGGGACTGTATGCGTAATTTCAAGTGACTGTCATGCAAAGAAGACAACGCCCGATTCACAACGGTACCCTGGAAAACTGAATCTGATCAAAATCGTGAAAAAATATCGTCGATTTTCTTGGTTTAAACTTAAAGTTGTTTGATGTGATGATTTCTTTTTTTTCCAATAATATACATGAACAAGTCACTTTTGAAGAGAAATCACAATTGAAAATAATTAGTGTTCAAAATTAAAATTGTTGATATCTAATACTTGTTGTTGCCATCTTTGCATGGGGGGTCACTTGAAATTACGCTTACTGTCTCTTTTAGTTGATCATTACGTAAAAGATGTTTCTTACGGTCAAAACTTTTAATATTTTCTAACAAATAATCATCTAAGAAATCTGGTAAATTTTTACGAAATTTGTTCGAACTTTTCGTGAAATTCACGAAATTCGTTAAAATCTTCGACCTTTCGTTGAAAATCTTATTTAATTTGCAAAAATGCAATCTTCTTGATGCGAAATGGAAAATTTATAATTTTTATCGAACGAAAATTTCGCGAAAATGAGGTCGAAAATACTTCGAAGAAAATTTTGAACGAAATAAACGAATTTCGTTGGTTCATTTTCGCGAATTTTGTTCAAGGAAAATTTCGATAGAAACCCTAGTGTGCATTGAAAAAAGCTAAATCTGAATTAAATTGCATATAATATCAGAGAGAAGTTGGCAATACCTATTAAAAAGATACTTATAATTCTATTTTGACATTTCTTCAAACACTTAAATGAAAATAGACTCAAAAATAAGAAAACAGTCGATTAGAGGGAGCGTTCGCGAAAACCGAAAGGGGGTATAGACTGATATTAATAGATGAAAGTGAAATTATTAGCGATCAATATCGAATTCAATTCCTTCTCTTGAACACTTCTTTTAATAACCTGAATATCAGCATAGATTAATGACAACACAGATAAAACACTAGATGTAGTCTTTTCAAGATTTAGAGGTTTTTGTTCAAAACAACCCTGAGGCAGAATCCCAAAGGAGTTACGCGCATGCTCTCTCTCTGTCTTGTCATTCAAAAGGCATGTAAATATAAGCA